AGCAGTCAGTGTCGTGCTAATTATTGTTAAATTTGCTAGTGTTGGACACAAACAACGGATAAGTTGTAATTAAGTTAACACAGCCCTACCGGAAAACACGAGCTGAAAGTCTCAGCTGTGAAGGACGTTGGCGGATGTACATGTATGTCGAGGACGATACTGGCAAGACCACCGGACAACTTGAAACGGTCAAACCACAATTCAAAGACGCATAGCAACATACCACACAACGTGTGTGTCTCTAAAGAATCGAAGATCAATTGAAGGTGAAGCTAAGCGAACATGAAGAACCGACCGCCTCAGTAGAGTCAGTGCTACAATACAGTACTTCTACCAAGACAATTCAGATGGAAAAATAAGCAGTACTAACAAGCAGTAGTTTCACACGACGATCGTTTCGCCGTACAGGCTTCTCTATCTCTAGTATCGGTATCTCTATCTCTATCGCTATCTCTATCTCTCCAACTATCTACCTCTCTCCCTCTCTATTTCCTCCCCCTCTCTCATTCTCATGCCTGATTGGCCGTGAGACGGCAGGTCAGTGGATCGTTCAATCACCACGGTCCACCACTGCCGGAAACATCAAGTGCAATGCTTTAATAGGTCGTTCCGTTCCATACGCGCCCAATATGTCGGAGTGTCCGATGCAGAATAATATTCAAATGAATACTTTGTTGTTGAAAGTCATTATCACAGCAGTCAGTGTCGTGCTAATTATTGTTAAATTTGCTAGTGTTGGACACAAACAACGGATAAGTTGTAATTAAGTTAACACAGCCCTACCGGAAAACATGTGGAGAATATGATCAACGTCCAACCGTGCGTGTACAATGTATATTATGAGCCGCTGTCAGTGAAAATGAAGCTTATAATTATAACTTTCTATGAAAGCTCTAAGAATCGTTTTGTCCATTTCAAGAATGGATTACTGATATTCTAGCATTCCCCGATTTCAACTTTCAGCTGAAAGCAGTCTTATCTGGCTAATTTGCTCGATTTGCATTACGCTCACTGGTCTGGATTTCCCCTCCACGCTTGTATCTCGCGGAAGCAGTGGTGTCACTTTGATTCCACCGCGGGGAATATGCATGTACATGTACTTGTACTGATAAAATTTGGGCTTCAATGAAGCGGTGATTTTGTTTAGAAAACGGGGCTGGAAAGACCGATTTCGGGTGTCATGTCCCGCAGAATGGTGGACTCGTCTATTGGCATTGGTTAAAGCCGAGACTGTCGCACAGTCTCGGCAAGAGACCACGGCGATGGGTGCTGTGAGAGCATTCACACTGCGTTCAACCGACCCAACGGAGACGATGATACGATCCTCAATGCATTTGGCCGCAAGGCCATGGGGCTTTCCGGCCAAATGCAGCCAAGAGTCTAGTTCACTGTTGCTTAGCACTAGAAAGTAAATTTACTGGTGACACAACATCTACAGTCGAAGCCAAAGAAATCCAACCCACGAGCCGAAAGCAACTCGTGCGATCCCAAGCCCTCGGATGGGTTTTTGGTTGTTGTTGTTGTTGTAGAAGTTTATTTAACGTCGCACCACAAACAGGCGATTTCGCCTCCTTTGATACATGTGGACGACAGAAGGAATGAGAGAGAGGGGGGGGGGGACAGAAGTATTGAGAGAGGAAGGGTAGAAATAAATAAGCAATCAACCTCAGGGCTACACCAAAGCAAAAACGGAATGGGAACATACTATATACAAAATAGCTTCATACATATATTGCAAAACACGTTTACTATTCTTCAGTCCTTTGGTCTGCGCATAATGTAATTGAAATGAAAACGCGGCACAACCTTTGACTCGCGGCTCGGATTTCTTTGGCAACGACTGTACTTGTATATTATTTGGAAGAAAAAGGTTCTTTCATTAATTCGAAATGCGGCTTGTCCGCTTGTCCATTCGCCTTTATTTCATTGGGCCTGGTTCCTGTTTATTGTGCGAATTTAAATAATAAACCAACCAGGTCGACCAAGGATAACTTACAATGACGAGTTACAATGTAGCTGTATAAAGTTTTGTTTTCGACTGGTAAATAGTAGGGACTGTACTCGCTGTTAGCTGTTACTCAGGATAGAATTCTCCGCCGTCCTAGCGCTTTCTTTTGCTTTCTGGCGCACCGATCGTCTGAAGAGAAATCATGGTCTCAGTTGTTGTTGTGTTTTTTTACTGAATACCACAGAACCATCAGATGCTGCACAGCGGGGGCGATGGCATATTGGATGGAAGTGGGGGCGGGGCAAAAGTAACTCCTCCGACCAAAGGTCTCGGAATCATCGTTACTCCTGTGCGCCGATACATAAGAGAAAAGAACATGTGCATCCAAGAGGGAAGCGCCGGCTTTGCAAACGATAATGGGGAGAATTTGAGATTGAGATAGGACATAACAGTAGTAAAAGCAGTGTACCGTGGAATTAGGAAGATGGGGAGAACTGATAATCGCATGCATATTAAGGCTGAGCGAAAGGGATCAAAGAGGGGTAGAAGGGAGTGATACTAGTACTGCTGATTAGAATTATAAAAATATACATTGTACTTGTAACGTTATACACTGTTGCCTGATGATTGCGAGAGCATGAAACTAATACTTCAAGTCGCAGCAAACAAGCCTTGATTGTCTTTGTTGTTCTGTTCTGTACATGTAATGATGTACATGTACATGTGCTTCGAAGTACATGTTTTGCATAAGTCAAAACCGCCGGAAGCGTTATCGCGGATTGCAAATGTCTTGCTTTGAGAGGTCTCTCTCATCTTCGACCCCGACCCCTCATTAGGCCTCAAAGCAGTTGCTCCGCCAGCCATATTCGTTCAACTCTAGAACCATGACATCTTTTCTTTCACTCGGAGCTGCATGGGGACTGTATTATGTACATAATGACGGCCACACAGTGACACTACATGTACACTGAACAGGATTGACAAGGTACATGTGTCCAAGGATTTCTGCGCAGGAGCACAGGCTTACATGATTGTACAGTTGACAACACAGTGCCACGAGACGTCCTGTTATATAACGACCTTTCAATACCCTAGTTTCTGCCATGCCTCCTTTCAACAGTCATTTCAATGCTTTTGGATGTTTTATGACACATTGGCGTCACAGAAGCACACGAACATGTACCGACACGGGTATGTGTTGCAGTAAAAGGCGCAGTACATGTACATCATGACAGAACTCACACATTTCAGAAGGTTTAGATGAAACCTCAGACAGCTCAATGGCATTCAAATAATCTACTTCAAGGAAGTTGTCATTCACTTACCTCCATGATCACTCCGCGAGAATGCCAAGGATATGACCGGTATTGCCCGTCCCTTTTCCTTTTTATTACTTGAAGTACTTCCCTAGCTTGAATACATGTACGGGTGACAATGTAAACGTCCGGGTAAAGTCACGGCTACACTACTTTTCAGGCAGGGATACGACTCCAGGCAACACGTGCACAGGGGAAACCTGATCGTTAGACATTAGTGATGACGACCTCACCGTCAACACACCTTCTCCACGAGTACAGAGATTGTGCGGACATACAGTGCACACAAGAGTCTCCACACCCTGAGAAAGGTGCATACACTGGAGGACCGAGAAAACAGTTCTTCAAAAGGTATAATTATTACTTGGTACAGAGTGTGTTATGTGGTCACCAGCTAGACTTTTGTAACTGTGAATTCCAATGTTATGTGCTAAAAAAAACTGCTAATGCAGGGTAAAGTGTAAGTCTCCTGTCCCTAGGTGATATCAATTATTACTTTCGGGATGAGATTTTGCTGGAATGGAAAGCGTCTGAATGTGGCACCCTTAGAACGAACTGTACATCTAACGAAGGGCGCGTTTTTAGTCGTCTATTACCCTCAGTAACGTTACATGACCAACCAGAGGTCATGTACTCTGGGCAGGCATGGGCGGGTAATGCTAGTTATTTGCTGCGATAATGCTAAAGGCAATGCTCATAATATGAGGATATAATGCCACTTAGAATGCTCACACTACTCCATAATGCCAGTTTGAAAGTTGGAAAAGTCGATTTAAGGAGGCCGTCTTGGATCAAGGCCAAAGCGTAGAAGAAAAAAACTTAAACAGCAGTGAGCATGTTGTCTGAAACAATCCACTGAGAAGGTTGATTTGCAACGTCAAGTCTCCGGACGAAGCCGGACGGGTTCAGATGCACGGTTTTCGGAACTGGACCTAGCCAGCTTCATGCATGACACCGTTGTCGACCGGCAATTATGCTTGTAATGCCAATTTTGCATGCGAAATGGTGTTATAACTTATAATGCCAGCATTATGCCACCTGGAAAAAAGGGACTATAATGGCAGCCATAATGCTAGCATTACCCACCCATGCCTAACTCTGGGTATAATCTAACACAGAGAAACATGTTTTCACTAAATGGACACTACTGTGAAGATCACGGAAAATAAACGGCAACAAAATTTAATGATGGCTTCCGGCCTGCTAAAATCCACAAAGCTAAAGATCAGCACGGGCTTCGGTGACAGACATCAGAGATTTGGTCACGAGTAATGTGCACGTGTTATAGTTATCGAACCATTGTACGCTTCGCAAGTTCACACCATATACTCCATGGCAGGCTTGTGAGATGGCAATATTTACCTTTGCTATCACCACTCAAAAGTACACACTGTATTGTTATGTATGGCGCTCAGTCTTCTACTAGTCCCAGTCTACGTGCAATGTCGGGGTATAACCTCACAGGATGTCGGTCATCGGGGCGCCAAACCAAGGCCACAGGCTGTCAAGCAACGAGCTGCAATGCAGTCAGCTGATGACTGGTGAATGTCAACCGTTCCCTCCTCACCCTAGTCCGTTGCTGGCTAGTTCATCAGCGAATGCCAGGTCATGTAAGGTGATCAGTTGCAGTGTTCGAAGACGCTCCACGTCCAGACTTCATTCAGTGCTGAGAGCTCACTGTCTGCCACCATAGTCCATAGCCTGTGCCTGGGTGTGTGGAGTACGGGGCCGAGGACAGTCGCCTGTGGCAGGTGGTGCTCCGTCATGTCGGTCGTGTGCATGCGTAACGAACAATTTGAAAGGTTTGAAGTCGCCTGCAGCCGAACGGTCACGGCCATGTATGCCGATCCACTGAACCGAACGCACTGCCGCAAACTCATTCAAAGATTTCGAAGAGAAAGAAAGCGTGAAGTGAATGGCCGCTAAGGGGCAGTGACTTTATCCGATCGTTGACGAGCTAGAGAGAAGCTCACACTGGCTTAGCTATCCATCGTCTCTAACGCATGGCAACTAGTATCTATTCTAGCGGCATAGCTCCGCCGGAAAGCTCCTCATCGTCGTCGGCCTCCTCCTCTCGCAGATCCGCTGCGCAGTCCCACCATCGACCCTGTGCCCTTGACCTGCCCGGCACTGGTGGCGCATCGGCTGTCTCCTCCTCCAAGCTGCTTGACGAACTAGCGACCGTTGCCTGCAGTCCGGAAAGTCCGCTGATGAAAGCCGTCCAGGCGGTCTGGCCCGACTTCAATCTCTCTCCACTCGACCATAAGGTATCCAGCGCCAGTACTCGCCGTACTGTGGGATCTAACACTGTAATATCATCGCGTGTCAGGGGCACCAGTAGCAGTCCATTGAAACCGCCTTCGACAACTCAAGTCAAATCATTGAGCAGCGCAAGCAAAGTTGCTAAAGGTTCGTCCACCTCCTCCACATCATCGTCTCGACGCCACTCCTCCAATAATCGGCATCGCAACGGTATGGCCAGCAACGAGAACGGATCCTACATCGCCAATGGCAGTTCATTACCCGCTGTGGCCAGGACCGAGTCTGTGGAGGATGCCATCGAGCGTTTCGCCGACATCCCGCCGGCAGCACTGCGATGTTTCCAGACAGGAACGACCTTGCTGGCCATGTTCACCGCAGAACATGGCAGCGAGCAGTGGATATCAACGGAAACACTGCGCCAGGAATACCCCCAGGACGCGGGGACGTCCGCAGCGAGCAAGGACCTGGCCGAGATGACCCGCCTTCGTGTGGTCGACTGCCACGCGATCGGCAGAAAGCCTGGCGAACCTCAAGACCGAGTGAAGCTCACGTTTCTCGTCATGCCTACCGTGCATCAGATTGTGGCGAGCTGTTTCGTTAGTCACCCGTTCCTCGTCGAGAAAAAAGGTAGGAGGTGTCTATAATAGTGATTCATTCTTTACTGAAGAATACAAACAAACAAACAACAACTGTCTCGTTTGGTGGTGGACGGGGCAGTGGTGGTTTGAATGAAGGACACAGCTAGCTAAGCAGATCCGTGATGGTAACTGTGCTGTGCATGGATTGATAGGTTCGAATACAGTTGCGTCTTCTTCGTAGCGAATGTACTGAAGATTGTAAAGACTGCGTGCATTTACACAAGAAAAGGCACAGCTAAGGCTCCGCGAGCTGACTACCCGGATTTATCCATTCTGGTTCGATAGTTTCGTCGACATTCGCCACAGCCTACACAGGTCCCACCCGATGTAGACCATACGTGGGGATGTGACCATTGGTAACCATCGGGTTGTCATGCACCATTAGAATAGGCTTGACATCAGATTCAGTGTTACAATTATTGTTCTTCCGTTGGCCGAAGGGCACGTGCAAAAATGATTGATGGTTTTCGTATGGACAGTCTGCATGGTTGCCTTACTTGTCGACCGATAAATCAAGGCTAGCGCATCTAGTAACACAGTAAGGACACGGTAATGAGTGCAAATACTAGGAATGCAGAACACGAATTGACTGAGTTTACACATCATTCGTGATAAAGTTAGATACATGTGCCTCAAGTATTACAATGGCGGGATGGCGAGCGATACAGGAATGCTGCAACAGGGCATACAGACTGTGCAAAGATTGCCACTGCACGAAGTCTTCTTACAGGTAGTCTTTCTCTCTATTCTTACTACGGCCTACAAGTACAAGGCTATAATTATGTAGATACAGTACATGGATTAGGCTGTCCTCGAATCCTTGATGTAGTTACATGTACGTCTTATGATCACGTATGTCAGATCATAATCTTGGCAATATAATCTACTGTCTCGCCCTCTCTTCAAACGTCAGGCTTTGCCATGCCCTGCGTTCTGCTGATGTTCTGGCCTGGACATCCCAGCCATGCGGTGATTCAAACCGTATCATAGAGATTTCATCCACTGTCACCTTCAAGCGGAGTTCAAATTACATGTATTTTTGAGTGTTGAACAATCGAAGAACATACATTTGTCTCCATTTTTGGAAACCCTGCAAAGTCAAATTAATGTAAAGTAAACTAATAACTTTGCCAAAGCCATAGGTTTCAGGGCGGATCGTTGAGAGTTTTGTGGCTGATGCGTTTCGTGTATCCACAGGTTGGACATCACTCGACCCGAACACGACATTGGTGCAGGAAGGACTGTCCTGCCAGCAACTGTCGCTAGGAGATCTGTGCGTCCCCCCGGTAGCAATGGAGGAGAATGGCATCGGACGAGAGGAAATCATGGCCGCTGGGTAGGTCAAATAGCTAAGCTGTTTTCCTCTGAGACTATGTCTTTATCTCCTTCTTTGCTCACCTATTGCTCATCACTTCTTTTACAGATTTGGCATTATGGAAAGTTTGGAAACCCCTCGATAGGCGAAAGCCTTTGGGGAATCCTTAAACAATAAAAATTACTTCAGAAGTACAAAATTACTCTGAAGTTGGTTGCTCCAACGAGGAGCACACGCTTCTTGTCTAAGTTCGTAAAATTACTCTGGGGGGGGGGGGGGGGGGGGAATAGACAAAAAAAGGTTTTGTGTGTTGGAAGATTGAGTACAATGTTCAATGTCAGGTGGATAAAATAATTCAAAAAAGCCAGCTGGGTAAGTAAGCGAGGGATTACTGTGTATGCAAAAGCGTCAATTGCAGTTTTGTAGACATTGCTCGTTTGGAGTAGCACAACTGCATGTGACTTGAAGAAGTGGTCCATTGACCACCGACACTGTGTCCTGGTGACTGAAGTTTCTTCCCAATGTGGAGTCCACTGCATTGATCTGATTGCTGGTATTCTCCACGGTATTTCTCCTGGGTGACTGCAGTAACTGCAGTGAATCCTCCAGTGGAGAGTACTCAGACGAGGAGGATGATGAAAACTCCGAGGAGTCGAAAGCAGCGCGGCTTCTGAGCCAGTTGGCAACCGTAAGTCTCTATAGGCTATTTATTGGCTTTCTCTAATCATCAGTTTGTGGAAATGAAATGGGAAACGTCTGAAGAAAAAATTGACTGTCACTTCAGAACTCAAACCCGTTCACGCAAATGTATGCGAGAAATTGCAGCTGTGCAACTATATTGGTAGCAAGGAGCTGAATCGATGCAACAATTTCATAATACCATGATTTGTTTGTGGAGTAACTTGATCATCAACTATAAATCGTAATCCACCAACAGACTACATCAGGTGTTCAGTAAAAATGTGGATCTGTGACTTTGCCAGATGGTGCATCTGTGGTGTTTCGTTTGCTTTTTATACTTTGGAAAATAACACCAAACAGTATTGTGCACCTAAAATTATTATTGGCACGGCACCGGAGTTGATACATTTCCTCTACAAACTCCTTGCCTGTAAATCTGAAAGGTCTTGCTTCGGAAGAGTTGTCTCGCGTTGACCTTGAGTCATGTAATTATGACTTTGCCTGGAGAGTGCATCAACCTCTTTGTGTTCAACATTCTATGTCCTGTGCAGGGCCAGTTGGTCTACTCGTCTCTCGATGAAGTGCACGTTCCTGAGGAAGAGGAAGATGACGACGATGAAGAGGAGGAAGAAAGCCCGAAGCCCACAAAACGCCGCTCTAAGAAGAAGCAGCACCAGGACTACTACGATGCTGACGATTTCGAAGTTGCCGAAAGCGAAGGCAGCGACGATTATGATTACGCGACTGAAACAAAAGTCAAGCCGTCTAAGAAGAAGGCAGCGATCAGCAAGCGACCCAAACTTCCTAAGAAGAAACAGAAGAAGCAGAAGCATGGCGATGGAGATGGCGAGACGCCCAGCAAAATGGAGCCAGGCTCCAAGCGGCCCATGAACGCGTTCATGCTGTTTGCGCAGAAATACCGGCAAGACGTGACAAAGCAACATCCGGGCAAGGATAACCGGTGAGACCAAAATTAGTATCATTCTCTAACTGCATGGTTACCTCGATCACACTGTCCAGTTAGTATAGAATATGGATTCGTTTCTCATGGACTCGGTTGCAGCAGGCATAACGAACATAGTTGTTGAATAACTCGAATACATTTTAAAATGAAATTTGGACAGTGCATGATTCAGTGTTTTAGAATACAGTCACCTGTGGTAAGTGTGTCACCGAATCCCACCTGCACTGAATTCTCCTGGATTTATCTTTTGCGATGATAAGCCCAAATTAGCTGGGAGCCGGGAGAGCACCGACCATTACGGCATTAGATCATCGTGTATAAGCCTTGATCAAGGTGCCAAGTCACCTTGGTAACGAGTCTAATTGTGTTGTTCTGAGCACAGGTTGATCATTCTACTTCTTCTAGGGTACATGTGTCTGAATTTTCGTAACACGACTTTAAAAGCATCTTTGGAGAGCGTACACATGGTACAGGGCTGAATGTGGCATTTCGTTGTGCATTGTATACTAAATCCGCTGATCTTTGAACTCTCTCCTGCTTGTGTGTTCCAGAGCTATCAGCACACTGCTTGGTACGTACTGGAAGGAGCTTGACAATCAAGCACGAGTTGCGTACGTTGTTGAGGCCCGAGCTCTCGCGCAGCAGCATCAGAAGCTGTATCCCAACTGCTGGAAGCGCAAGCGGACCAATGCGGCTGCCGCTGCCGCAGCAGCAGCAGCCAAGAACTGAACCAAACCGACGTGCAAAGGTCTCTTTGAACTATAAACAAGCTACTGGTACTCAGTAGCGAACACTGGATATCCCTGGTAGAAAATGAAGCTATGTTTCCTATTTAGGTAGCTATAGGCGATTGCCATGTCTCCATTGTCAACTATGTACATACACCATTGCCCTTTCTACATTAGAAACCAACTTCTAGGTGCTAGGGAATTTTCTTATATGCACTATGCAATGAATGAGACCTTTTTCAAGAATAGAGCCTTAGAGGCATGACTGAAATTGCGCGATAATATTGGTAATGGATTATTCCAATCCAATACTGAGCTCTTTTTAACTCAATATTTTAGGAACTTTACGGGAATTTACAATGATTCCGTCCAACGTTCGTAGGAATCAACAAATTATCAATATTATTATTTCAATCATCTCGGTTTCAATACCGGGTATTTGTATAGGCAAGTAGTTGGATGTTGCAGCCTGAATATAATGTGATAATTGATAGCTAATATATTAGATTCTTGTTTAGTTTGACTCGCGACAGTCATTGTGCTGTCCTTATACAAACGGTGAAATGACAACCACCCCGCTCCCTCGAACTGTATTTACAAAGACGTTGCGTTTTTCCTGAGGTCTGTCGCAGTTGCGTTGTTGATTGCATCATGACCGTGTCGTTTGCGTGGCTTTGACCATGTTGACTGCGGCTCTGACTGAGTTGGACATCTTAGATGACGAGAGCGAGATTGAAACCACCTCTTCGTCTGACTCACCTGACGACTCGGGACGGGAAATGATTTCGAGGCAAAGGAGTCGTTGTCCCTTTCCCGAAAACGGTCCTTGGACAGATCCTCGAGAGGGCCAAAACGGCGATGGAGGAGAGTACAAAGGTCAACGTCAGTCCTCTGCAGCGGCTAAGTGAATGTCCAGGCGAAATGCTGACCGTTTCTGCTGGAAAGGTGATTTGTGATGCCTGCCATGGCAAGGTTGCTGTGAAGAAGAGCATATTCAAGGATCCCACTGCATCGTCGCTCCATCAATTCGGCAAACAGAACAGGAGAGACGCCGAAGACCTTCGGCAGCAACGAGTGCTACCAAGCGGAACGGGAAAAGCACGTGAGGAACGGGCCTGCCTGAAGCTGTGCCAGGTGAGCAAAGCCTGACGTTGTCAGGGCTTTCCTTGTGGTAGCTATTGGCCAAGATTGATTTACTTCTTCCTGTTTTGGAAACGGGGACTGAGCGCGTGACAGTTTAGCACTCACCTTGCTTCTCGTATCCCCTATATTCTGAGGATGGAACGAGACCGTCATGTGCAGGAAGAGCTGAACTTCGCGACAAGCTGCTTACATTTCAGTAACATTTGATAGCAGCACGTATCGAGTTAAAGGGGAAGTGCATCGATTTTTCGAGTAGGGTCTAGAAGAAAGACAATTTGATATCGGTTCGAATGGCATATCTCTCGCTTCCATACGATAAGCCAAACTTGCCAAATCGCCAATTGTATACTCACGTTGCCATAGCGACCAGCGGAGTGATGACGTACGAAAGGCTTAGCTCCTCCACAGAGAAGGTCGATCACTGCAGAAATTGGTCATTTTCAATTGTCTTATTGTATTCACGATGTGAAAGAAGTGCTGTGTTCAATGCTGTTAGTGCCGTGAACTATTTGTCGCCCTTCTCATGCATTTCCCTAGGCTGACTGTGCCTAGGAAATGGTTTCCTCCAGGACAAGATGCTTGGAATTCGCTGTCTCTCCTGAGACATTTTCAGCAAACTTTCAAACCTACGACATTATTTCATTCGTCAATCTCCACCACCCGTCGTCTCACCTGGCTTCAGAAGATGTTACGAGAGATAGGAGAGTCGCCAGGAAGCATCACATTCATCTTCAGGAAGTGGAAAGAGCAAACGGCATGGTCCTTGGTTGGGGGAAATGCTGAACGTCTGCCATGATTTGTCCCAACCAAGATTTCAGCATTTTGTTCGTCACTATTTTCGCTTGTCTGCTGGTGTCTCCGCGCTCCAGCTTTCTCCTGTCGGTGTCACGTCCCAGTACACAACCGAGAGGACTACTAACAAACAGTTCACTGCACTTACAGCATTGAACACAGCCCTTCTTTCACTTCGTGAATACAATAAACCAATTGAAAGTGACCAAATTCTGCAGTGATCGACCTTCTCTGTGGCCTCCTTGCCAAGCTACATATTGTCTTTGGTGTGTCTGGCCCTGCTCTGTCCTGGCTGGAGTCCTATCTGAGTAGCCGATCACAGTTTGTTTCTGCCCTCTCCATCAACTCTGATCCTCTACCAGTGTCTTCTGGAGTTCCCCAAGGCTCCATACTTGGACCTCTTTTGTTCGTAGCATACGTAAATGATTTACCCAGGACCCAGGTGTCTCGTTATTTGCTGATGATACAACCCTACTGTCAGCATCCTTGTCCTCAGCGGCTCTTGTACCTCGAGTGTCGGCTCAGATATGCAGTGTCCTACGCTGGATGCAAACATGGCGACTTAGACCCAACCTGACTAAAACCGAAATAATGTTCCTTCCCCCAATCTCATCCATGTCACTTTTACACCATCCTGATTTCCCAGAACCCATAAAGGTTGTTTCCAACCATAAACACCTGGGAATAATGCTTGATGATCGTCTCTCTTGGTCTTTCCATATTGATGCTCTTTGCAGCCGTTCAAGCTCTGCCCTAGGTGTTATACGTCCCCATTGTTTCCATCTTCCTTTCAAATGTAAAATTTTGTTTTACAAACTGTACATCCTGCCTCTTTTCATGTACGCTGCTGTTAGCTGGTGTGGCTTGTCCTCGGTTCTCGCTGAGCGTCTCGAAATCCACCATAGAAAACTTCTTCGTATCCTGTTTAGTCTACCCCTCCCCTCTCTACTCTTCTGCTTCCCTGTATGTCCTTGCAAATGCTTGCCCACTGTCGACCCACCGTCAAAAATTAATTTGCACTTTTGCTCACAAATTTAAACTAGCTCTACATCCTCCTCATCTTAACGTGTATAACTGGTTCCGAATCACAGATGGCTTCCAGACAAGATGCTCTGTTGCCCTCCCCTTGGCTAAAACGTCCTCCCTTGTACGCTCTCCACTCTTTGTTGCTTACTCTGCTTGGCTCGCGCTGCCCGCTACTACGCGCAATGCCAGTACCCTGGACGCATTTAAATCTGCTCACTAGATTCACCATCACCTGTCCCTCCCATGCTTCTCCGTCTTGACCATTACTTTTCTTCTTTTCTTCTTTTATTCACCATGGTTGGTTAACACCCACATCTCCCGTACTGGCTGATTTTCTTCTCACGCCATGAGGTGTTGTCTATAATAATAATAATAATAATAAGCCTTTCGTACGTCATCACTGCGCTGGTCGCTATGGCAACGTGAGTATACAATAATTGGCGATTTTGGCTTATCGTATGGAAGCGAGAGATATGCCATTCGAACCGATATCAAATTGTCTTTCTTCTGGACCATACTCGAAAAATCGATGCACTTCCCCTCTAAGGGTAAACAGTTATCAAGGTGAAGCACTTGCCATCATTCTCAGGTTTCAACGGTCAGGTCGGACCACACTACATGTACATGTGTTTGCCAATGTCTTGTCCAAAAGCTGCGGCCAAGACGCGGCGGCTAGCATGGGAAGTAGTTATCACTGCAGTATCCTGCTGCTGATTTGGTTGTTGCTGTCACTCGCGATGGTGCCAGCATCAATGGTGCGGCGGTCCGAATCATCAAGGACATCATGACTTGTATCCAAAACTCACCATTGCCCGGACAATGTTGGCAGGAAATTCGACACCCGTTGTTGGATATTTTCCTTCAGTCCTGGGTGGCATCCATTGGGGATGGCACTAACCATGCATGTATCTATGTGGATACATTTCAAACGCAGTATGACAGCCACGTGGTCATGTATGCCATTATTCAACTCTACAACAGTCCCTTGTGTGTGTGTCACTGTATGTTTGGAGGCTCAGATCAGTTTGGAGTAGAATTTCGAGCAAAATCTTAGAAAGAATGAGCAGAACGAGAGCAGAATGAAAACTGAGCATAAAAAGCCATTTACCCGAGCATATGGCGCTGACCCCTACTCCCTGGTTCAGGGTTGCCACATTCGAATGTAGTCATATTCACATGACAACATACTTCAAATACATGTGCATATACATTGTACATGTATGCCCTATTTGCAATTGAAATCATCAATCATTGAACTCGTCTTCTAACGATTGATCTATCGGGTAGTACTCCTGGTACCAGGTGATTCAAGCAAGAGTAAACTGATGGAAGCAGCTAGCTCCCGACTGTAGCTATTCTTGATAATGGCATGATGTAAAAATAATGATGCAAAGCTCCCCTAATCCGCACTCCCCAGATCCGGGCACTACTCGCGGCATTCTGGCCCGGCTAATGAACTATTGTCCTTGTCCCTGTTTGAACCCATACAAAACTGACCCTTTGCAACAGGGTGTAGCCAAATGCCTACAGTATGTCCTATGGTATTTTTGCTACTCGCTGCTTTGTAACTTCTACATTGTACATTGTACATGTGTGTACAACAGAGAGGTTCCAGCCACGGCTGTCCAAGAGAGTTTCTCTGCCCTCTTATTGTTTGTACATGTCACATGTGTGTACATTATTATATAACCCAATACTAGTAGTACACTACTAGTATTGGATAAACCTTGTTATAGTTCACACATGTCACTGTCAGTTCCGAACACAGTGTCCTCCACCTTGCCTTTCATGCTGTCAAACTAACAACATGTGTGTACATGTTACATGTACTCAAACGTCTCCTATCCGGACGCCTCAGATTCCTATAGCACAAATGCTTCGAATTTGGGGTTTTGAACTTTTTTCCGTATGTGGAAGTGCTTATTTTTCACTGCCGACCTATGAAATTACACATTTTTATCAATGGGTTCCTTTTTTATCCTGGACATATGCAATACGTTCCAAATAAACTTCTTCAAAAATGATAATGATACATGGTAGATGAGTTTTCCTGAGATATGGACAAATCTGAGATACGGGCAATGCCCGGTCCCAAGGTGCCCGGATAATAATAAGAGGCGTCCTAGTGTACATGTAACTGTTTTCGTTTATAACGAACCATTTCTCTAACGTCTAAGTGCACTCATAAGTCATACTCGTAGATCTACGTACCACAGTCATGGGCTACATGCAAGTCGCGATCCCTTCGTGTGTGTGATGTTGTTTGGTGTGATTGCATTTCTGAAATTCTGATTATAATAATGAACTATAAATAGTAATAAACTACATTATTATTTTGTATAATTACTTCGGCAAAGATCTCCTGCACAGTGTGTAATTCGTATCACTGAGTCTGTCAGCGTCAGTACAGGCCAGGCCCGCAGGACTCCGGAGTCGGCTAGCGCCAGCGGCTATGTATGTTAGCGGCTAGTACGCATATGTATGGCGAAAGTCATGCATGAATGATGTCATGATCTTTTTAGCTTTTGCAGCTGATTTTTTTTTGAAATTTCATTTTGTGCTCCCCAACAAGTAATTGTTTTCGAATTACGATGTCCATCTCTCCCTGAGCGCCTGGATGACAAGCGAGAGCTTCTCGACTGGCAGCTAATTCATATCTGGTGTCTCCTCGATATGATTGTATAGTTAGGTATGGCTGTTCATGATTGCCAAGAACACCACCGCAGCCTGAGGATTTCCTGAATACTTTGAACTCATTTGTGGACGCAGAAGATGGAGTTTTTGTCAGGGATCAAGAAAGCTTACGAGAGCATTGAGAGTGACATTAATGCCTCAGTTCGCCAGCCTGACACTTCTACGAAAGAAGATAAGGATGCGGCGGTCGCGCCTGATGGCGCAGAGAAGGCACCCTCGAAAAAAGTATGAAATAAGTGTGAACCTGTCAGTTCTCTCTCCCCCCCCCCCCCCCAAAAAAACCCGATTGTATTGGGACTGCGTCTTGCACAGAGTAGATTCCATGAAAGGGCATGCACACAGGGGCTTGGTCCTGAACTCGCACACAAACAAAACTTGTGAAGTACACCTGCAAGTTGTTCCTGCAGTGCAGCACATCAAAAAAGGATCAACATTCTGATGATTCCATTGTCCATTATTGGTTGAACAATCAAAGAGGGGCACCTGGGTGAGGTGGGACTCTTTGTGGATTTTTCAGAACATTGATTTTCAATTTGTCACAAGATGCTTTTCAATTTGCTATCTTTTGCCTGTGCCCCTCTCTTCTTTCTCTGATTCTTTCATCCTGCCGCCGCTCTCTTCTCTGTGTGTGTGTGTGTGTGTGTGTGTGTGGGTGCGCGCACGCACGCACATGTGCACCTATCTGTATATGTTTTGTCTGTAGCAAGCTGTAGCCCAGTCGGCAGATGGCTGGGATACGTCTTGGGGAGATGAGGGCTTGGCATCTCCTGCCACGCCATCTCGAGCACAGGCGGACGCGACGGCCTCGGCGTCTTCCACTGCTACGCAAAGCCCCAGAACACCGCAGCAGTCTCCATCCAAAGCTAGTGCTACGAAGCTGTCCGGCAAGCGGGCCGGTGCAAGCACCCGTACTCCTAAAACCTCCGGTACGGCCACGCCGGCTGCTGCTACACCCAAGCCCAGCAGTACGGATGTGACAGATGGCTCGAAAGCTACTGCTGAAGTAGATGCTTCGACTTTGAAGTCTCAAGCTTCATCAAGTCCTGCAGCCAAGGGCAGTAATGCAGCAACACCTGGAAAAACGGTAAGGCATTGGCAGATCTGATGTTGTTGCTAGGCATGGTGTGTAGGATTGCGTGTGTTTGTTTTCCTAACATAATATTTGCCATATTATTGTACGGTACATAAGCTTTTTGACCGAATATTGCACCGCTCAGGTACATTTGAAACCATGAAGAGTACATAACCCCCAAGAGTGTGCAATCGTAGCCTACATGTACGGGATGTGTACTGGAAGAGTTTCATGCCATGTGAGAAATCTGTACTCACGTCCTGCACTCTGATCAGTACGTGTTACATTGTATCTCCCTGCTTTGGGCACAACTCTCTGGTGGCCACTTTGCACTGTTTAATTGCTGGTGTGACCTAGTGAACCATGTCTATCATGTGATGGGAAGCTCTGCCGTCGTATCACTAGGCGGAGAACTTGCAGGCGGTTGCACTGCTGGGGTTTATGTGCTCTGATGGCACGTACCCGGAATCTACTGTATAAGCAGAAATATTCGTCTGGAATTTAATTTCGTCTTTTTCGTCCAAGGAACTTTTGGACTAAATTAAATGCCGGACTAATGTCGATTTGTCCAGCTTTTCTATACACTCTTATGATCCATGGACGAAATTTTCAACCGGACGAACTCCCTTTCTTGGGAGTTGGACGAAATTATTGACCGACGAAATTTTCTGCCTCTACAGTACATCAAATTATAATACTTTTGATTGACATAGTGCACAACTGGTGAGATGTTGAACCTGAAATTGTGTATCCCAAGTGCACACTGCACTCCAGCCAGTATGGTACGAAGTAGCTGGCATGGCATGGACGTGTGCCCTGGACTCGGTGTATGTAATGCGTTGGACAATGTACAATGTCATGGAGGTTGCGGGAAATTGCCATTACTAGATAGTACATCACGTGCACGAATGCAGCCAGGTGTCTCACAGCATCAAGCATATTTCCTCTTGCCATTGTACGTACATGTACATCACAGTGCTGTCAAAGGGCACGGACGACACTGTGCCTTTCATGTACCGGTATACGGGCACGTCATGGTCAGCCAGCATTCTATGACAACTTTGTGGTGTACTGGCGGCTTGTTCTCGTTTGCACTGGTCGAAGACTGTGTTAGGGCATGTCGGAGGCCTGAAATGACCAGTGTTCGGAAGCAAGTGATCTCTTATTGCCGTAGCTGGTTCACTTCTTTTTGATTCTGTTTATTGTGTAGGAGTTAGTTATGCTACAATCTTGGCCAACGAAATCCGACCCACGTGCCGAAACAGCACCACGGTGCATGCGGCCCCTGTGGCCATCAGGTCGCTTTTTGGAACATGCCTGATGTAATTGATATGGGAACGTGGCGCTACTGTTGAGCCGTGGGTCGGATTTCTTTGCCCAGAACTGTTGTTACTCTTGCCTTCTTCTGCAGGGTGGACTTGATGCTATGACCCGTGATGACCTCATCAAGCATTTACGCAAGCAGATGGCCCTGCTGAAGGCCAGCAAAGCTAGCTGTGAAGGTACAGCTTTTGCTCTTGTATCTCTGGAAGCGCTTTCTAAACCTGAAGTGCAATGTTTCTTTCATGCATTCGAGCGTCCCTGCGGCACCAGCATCTGCCACTGCTCTTTTTCCATCCATCTACTGTGTGCCTTTTAAACATATGAAACATGTTCTTTCTTTTTTTGAAGATTAGAATTGCAGTCTCAATGTACTGTATGTTATCTTCTGTGGAAAGTGCAGTTGTGATGTCTGGTGACATGGCATAGCATCCACTTTAGATCTAGTCTGGCCTGCTGAAGATGGTCTGGCCAGCACTAGACCTATGTAGGCAGTCCATCGGAGACTATTCACACTATTTTGTTGTGTTCATCTTTCACTACCCTAACGTTGTTTGGGTGGCTGCCAAGTGATTTGGCTGAAGGTGGACCAGCCAAACGGCTGCTGTCCTCCCATGATAGGCTGCCTACATGTGCATTTGCTTTTAAGCAAATGCACATGTAGGTTAAAAACAACAGCAGCAGCAGCTTAGCAAGGATACAGTGCATTTGATGAGTGACTTATCAGCACTGTAATTTTGCTCAATGGCTGTACACGTACGTTCTTTATGTAGCTGTGTTTGCTCTCCTGTTGTTTGTATGCATGGCTGTGTAGAGATGACGAGGAAATGCACTCATCTTGAGCAGCAGAACACGGAGCTCAAGTCGGCAACTGAAGTGCCGCAGAAAAAGAACGCGGATGCCGAGGTATGGATCACTTCCACTGACTGCTGTACATAGTCGTCTAAGTGACTGCCTGATTGTGTACATTGAGCTTTGGTTTTTCCTTTACAGCGTATCATTTGTGAGCTGCCGTTTTCTGCCTCTGTGCTATCGTAATGTACTTGTACACATGGCCGCGCCGTTAGGACATTCAAGCGCAGCTGAGCACGGTGTCCAGTGTCCGCGACAATTTAGCCGAGCAGCTGACCACCAGCATGGCCCAGCAGGATGCTCTCCGACAGGACCTTAAGGTACGCCTATACGATCGTGTACAGTGACCCGCTCATCATCACTGTCATGCATGGTCTACTGAGGTCTAGATTCTCTGAAGCTATCTGCCTTGTGAATCCGATCATATTTTATGCTGACTTTGGAGTTGTCTGCAAAGTATACTTGGGAAAAGGAAGTTGCTGGGCTCCTTGGCTTTGCTCCTACTGAAAAGTATTCACTGTTGGTATACGTGCCAATATGTGTGTGTTCATGGACTCAGTTTTCTGTAAGGTTTGAGCAAGTGTTTTGTGACTGCAATCTCCACTGTTTGTGTATGACAGATCAAGGCGCAAGAAATTGAAGGCCTCGCTGCGTCCAAGGCTGAAGCACAAAGCCAGCTCTCATCAACAGAAACTGAGCGAGATAAGCTCAAGCATGCCGTTCAGCAGCTCAAGAAGAAGCTTTCTGCTGTTTCAGTAGCCAAGAATGCTGCACCGGACAAGGACCTGGAAGCCCACACAGCTGAGCTCGAACGCATCCGTGCAGAGAATGCCGTAGCAAAGCAGGAGCTTGCTAATGTTCAGACGGAGCTGGCAGAGCTGCGCGACGGCATGCAATCCAAGTTGGCCGAGTGTCAGCAACTGTCAGAGAAGCTGAGCTCCGCTGAGCAGCAGTCCGCCGAGTCGGAGCGCTCCTGGCAAAGTCGTTTGGATGCTGTCCATGCCGAGCATCAAGCCGCGCTCCAGACGGCAGAGGCACAACTGACCTCGGATGCTGAGCATCGCATTATTGCAGTAGTGCAAGAAACAGAGCAGCTGAAGGCAACACATGCCCAGCAGATGAGCCAGGCTGAAGCAGAGCAGGGCGTTGCATTGCAATCACTGGCGGAGAAACATTCTGAAGAGTTGCGAGCCAAGGAGGACTTACATGCCAGCCAACTGCAAGGTACTGCCTGGTTCTTGTCTCTGCTTGCTACATGGTCCACCGAGACACTTAGCTTCATCTCATCTTCTTTAAGGGCATGTTGTGTAATTGTGAATCAAAAAACGGAATGACACTGATACCTGGTGTGAGCCGGTAAACATCTACTATCCAATAAAACCCACCCAACACGAAAACGCATGTACGAAATTAGGGTAAGAACGAAGGAAAATAAGATCGGAATGCATGTCTTGTACTGGACCGTTAGCATGGAATTCTGGTCCAAGGACACTCTGCTCTGTCACGAGACGTAAATATTTACCCTCGCTGTGTATTGTTTGTGTGCTACTCTCCGGGCTGTTGTCTGAATCGGTGTTGGCGCATCCCTGTGAATATCATGCCTCTCTTCTCTTCATTCCTTGCTGAAGAACAAGCATCTCAGCTGCAGGGAGCAGCCGGACAAGACCTGGAGCAGCTGAGAGAAGAACTCGCCTCTGCTAGCTCTCATGCAAAGCAGCTGGAAGCTGAAAAAGTCCAACTTCAATCGACAAAGGAAGACCTAGAAGTGGAGGCGATACGTGCACGGGAAGAAGTAGAGCGGCTGCAGGCGGAACATGGTAGGGTGCAGTGCTCTCTCTCTCTCTCTCTCTCTCTCTCTCTCTCTCTCTCTCTCTCTCTCTCTCTCTCTCTCTCTCTCTCTCTCTCTCTCTCTCTCTCTTGTTAAATTTGCACTTGCTGTCTGTCAGGCATCAAAACCCTGTTGTAGAGGTCTCAGTCCTCATTTGTTAGACTTATCCGTCTTTATAAATGTAACTTACTCTCTCACACAAGTCTTGTCTTGGCTCATTGTGCTATGAATTGGCGAAAATGGAGATCGACATAGTCATGGAAGTAAGATACCGTTTGTACCATACATGTGTAGTTGAAATCAAGGGTCAGTTGTGCTTGTTGCTTTCTGTGAGTGGTGCTTGTCCTTGTTCTTGGACTGCTTCCATTGCAGCTGTCTCGCTGAAGGAAAGTATGTCGTGCGCCCAGTCTTCTCAGTCTGATGCATTGGAAAACCTCCGAGATCAGTTGACCAATCAAATCTCAGCACTAACCTCTGAGAATGAAGTTCTGAAGGCAAGTATGGAGCTGCAGCGGACGGATTTGTCGTCCCTGTATGTGGTATGTTAAAAACACTGTCAAGTAACGTTACTGCTGATCCTGCTGCTGCTGCTACACACACACGCACACTCACACACATACACACACACGCACACTCACACACATACACACATGCGCACACTCCCACATGTGTGCTTGTTTGGGTTCGCGCGTGCCTGCTGGTGGGTTAGTTGGAGGTTGTCGATCAAAAGAACAGAAATAGCGTGCCGGAACACAAACTTTCATGCATGCCAGGCATAGGAGATCTGGTCCATAGGCCACTGCCTCTAGAAAATCCATCAAATATACAGTCTAATATTCTGCTTGAAAATGCCGCTGCTGCAACTACCAGATGGTTGCCTTTTGTTTAGAGGCGCGGGAAATTGGGCTTTGCCAACTGTGCTTTCAGACTGTACATGTCGTTGTGTGATGTGCCGTTTTGTTCCTAACTTTGTGCACTGTGCACAGATCAGGTGAGCTATACATGTTCATGGGTGGGTATGTAGTGATCGTAGTGGCAGATGATGGGCTTATTGGGTCTGGTGTTTGGCAAATCGATTGCTAGTGAAGCAGAGCAGCCGTACTGCCCTTATCAATGCAGATGCGAGATGTCCCGGGCATCCCCTCGAAGGTTTAGCACAGTAAAGCAAGAAAGACAAGGCATGCCAGGCCCGGCGGAACTGGTCAGGTCCGTCAGGCCATGGCCTTGCCAACGTTTTGGCCACCAGCTTGTGTTTACTGCTGATGAGGTCATGTATACCCTCCATACCGTACACAAGGCATGAATGGCTAGGATATGGCCGGACCAATCTACAACTGTTTTCTCCGGTCCTGTATGCGGGAAAACTCCAGCATAGTAATTGTCATGCATCCAGCCCGAAGGAGTACATATGTGTGCAAGATATGAGATTACAACGCCCAAAGGCTACAACTACCTCACTGATTCTATTCACTGTTTCTGCAAGTGCACTTTTATACCCTACATGTACATCAGGGAATAGGCAACTGTTGAATTGCTTAGTGACTGGTGTTGTTGTTGTCGTGGTCGTGGTCGTCGTTGTTGTCGTTGTCATCATCATCATTGTGTATGTTTCTTTGTAGCAAAGTAAATCTGATCTCGAGCAGCTGCAAGAGGAGAGAGATGCACTGAAGACTGAGCTGACGGAGACCACAGCTCGCCTACAGGCGGTGGGAGAGGCCGGGGCACAGGGCGACTGCGACGCAGCCGAGAAGGAGCTCACCGACCTCACCATGGAGAACGCCACGCTGGGCGCGGACCTGGAAGACGCACTGCAGCGCAACTCGGAACTCCAAGAGCAGCTGGATGAAGCTAACGACAAACTATCATCACAAGCACAGCGGTCACCAATGTCTCGCTCACCCGCATTGGTCGACTTGAGCTTGACAGTTGCCGACAGTGGCGAAGGTCAACAGACGGATGGCTCATCTAGCAGCACAGACCAGCTGGTTCGCATCGAGTCTCTTCAGGAAGAAGTGAGCCGCCTTGAAGCTCAATTAGACGAGGCGCAAGCCGCATTGACTGGTGAGCGATCACAGCACACTGTTGACTTGGGCAAGGTATCTGCCAGCCGTGACGAACTTCTCACAGCACTTCAGGATAGGGAGACGGCTGCGGAAAGTGCAACGCAGCAGTTGTCATCTCTTGAACAACAGTTAGCTGAGGAAACCAGTAAGGTACGAGTACAGCTTATACACATGGTACTTCCGCCGGAGTGGATTTGCTACTCAGACAATTACTGGTGCATGTAGTGTGTCATGATGTCACAAGTGAATATTCATCGGTGTCATCCATTTTCTGATGCTTATCACTGTATTAGTGTTGGTCTTGCTAGGAATTTGCAGCTACCGCTCATGCTCCCGTTTGAATTACAGCGTTGAGGCAATCTCCGTTGTGAAGTAGACTCTCTCGTCTCTTGGCAGTCTAACACAGGGTGAAAGAATTCTTGGCTTGCCAGCTGTATTGTTGGCTGGCACACGACCGAGTGTGTCACCTCTTGCTAGCTCTGAGCTAGTACCGTACAGGGAAGAACAAGGGGGAGTCCCTTATGACCTGCGAATGAAGTACTAGTCTCCAGGAGAAACAGTTATGATTTGCTCTTAACTTGTGAAGTTGTGCGTGACTTTGTCTCCTTCAAAATTCCTCCTTTTTACGGTATTGGATAGGTACCTGAACGCATTGCACTAGCCTACCTTGTGTGCTGTGCTGTACTCTTTCCTGGTATGCCTAGGCGATGACTCTGCAGGACGAATGTCAACTGCTGCAGGAACAGCTCACAGAAGCACATCAACGTCCACCTGTTGTCATCGAAGACAGTCCTGAATACCGAGAGCTGGCTCAGCAGCTCAGCGAGACTACTGAATCATTAGCGACCTTACAATCCCAAGTATCATCTCTCTCCTCCGAAGCTGCTCAGCGCAACGACGAGATTCTCCGATTACAAGCCGATCTGGAAATTGCCAATCAAGCAACAGCAAAGGCGAGTCAGGAAATGGAGAAGGTCCAACACGAGGTGGCCTTGAAAGCTGCAGATAGTGATGCTGCCGAATCTGCTCAGGCAGCAGCACTTCAATCACAACTCAGTAAGTTCGTGTTTATACCTGTTGTTACTGGGCAGGGAAGCTAGCTAGTACTCGTAGTTACAAGAAGTGATCACTACTACAGTAAAACCTGCGACTAACAACCACCCCTAGGGGCCAGAGAAAGCGGTCTTTAGTGGCAGGTGGTCCTTAGTTATAGGGGGGGGGGGGGGGGGGGGTATGTACTCTTGGTATCACCAATAGAAACAATATAGGAAATGGTTAAGAGCAGACCCACTCTTTCCCATTCCCTCTGCAACAATATCGAGTTTGGTATTGTTGCAGAGGGAATGGGAAAGAGTGGGTCTGCTCTTAACCACTGCCTATGAATGAAGCTGCAGGAAGCCTCGCCACTGCTACTATAGAAACACAGTCAAACACTATTAGAAAACAAAGGATGAGAAAGGATGCAAGTAGTACTTGCTCAGGTCCCGTGGGTATGGTTACTAAGGTAACTAGTACAGATGCTATAGCGCTAACGGCGTGTGTAAGCGACTGCCCCATGCATGCTCAAGTAATACTACCCCATATATTGCACGGGAATAAAGGAAAAGAAAAAAGTCAAAAAGAAAAAAAGTGAACTATTGAGAAAGAACGCAGTGCCCTCGTGAACTGTTCTATCCGTTCACAACAATCACCATGGCAGGACAAGCATTGTATCTTCTGTAGTGTACATGTAGGTGTTAGTGTTGTCCCTTGCATACTTCTGGTCTATGCTTGCTAGAGGTTTTTGTCATGACTCCATATTCACACTGTATTCACCATGTGTGATGGCTTGTCAGTGGACTTCTGAAAGAAGAAAGATGCAGTATTACATGGTGTATGCCTAAATGAAGTCCACCAAGTATCTTTCTCATGCCTGCACTTGTTCTGTGCATGCCTCGATGCTCGTGTTCTGTGCATGTGTGCCGCTAGGTGAGAAGCAGGCAGAGCTGACGAAGCTTCAGGAGCGCTTCTCCAAGCTGAAGGGGGCGCTGGTGAAAATGAAGGATGAAGTGGCTGAACTGAAGGAAACAGTGAGTTGGGACAGGGTAGAGTGTTTTTGTTGTAAATAGGTTTGAGGATCTTTTCGTCCTCCACATTATCACGTCCCGGCACCTGGTAGTGGTGGAAGTTGTACTCGAGCCACAAGAAGGCATCTGGGTTACGCGGCAGTAGCAGGACATCTTGATGCTGACATTGTACTACTGCGGCACTGCTAGAGTAGGAAGTACTAGTAACCATACCTGCAATAGTTGTATTTAAAGTCCTAGTGCTTTCTGGCTTGCTGTGCATGTGCCCTTGCATGGCAAGTCTCTGGCTGATGAACGACAAGGTTTTCTGAGTCCTGATGGGTAAGAAAGATGCCCGGTAAACGCGAGTGCCCGGATCTGCTGGCGAGTCTGGATTAGGGGAGTTTTACTGTATAATTTTAAATCACTGTGCCAGTCAGTCTGCTGCCACTGCTGCCCGCGTGCGCTGTGTGTGCTTGCAGAACGTGGCGCTAGAAGCCAGAGCATCTTCGGTGGACGAGTCCGTAGCCCACCGGCACGATGAAGAGGTTCGCAGACTGCAAGCCGAGATCTCAGCTGCTAATGAGGAATCAGCCAAGCTGCAACAACAGCTGGACAGTACACAGCAACAGCTGGACAGTACACAGCAACAGCTGGACAGTACACAGCAGCTAGCTGCGGAGGCGGCATTGAAATCTGAAGACGCGCAAGTTGCCGAGTCGGCAAAGGTGGAAGAACTTGAGTCACAGCTTGGTAAGATGACGCTTCATTGTTCATTTTCTCTAGGCTGTACGTCAAGTGACCTGGATTGATTTCTTCCGCCAGCCCTGTGCAACTCTGTGCAGTGTTGGAAATGTGCTCTGAAAGGGTCTACGCATGAAATATGATTACAGCTTACCTGTTTTACTCGTGTATGTAAGGTATCCGTTGGACTTGTGTAGTATTTTTTGCCATTTGTATACTACGTTCAGGGTTCTAGCCAGGTCAAAATACTGGGGGGGGGGGGGGGCAGGCACAGGGAATACAGTTACCCCGTACCCCATTTCCATTTTCAAAATAACTGTCCTGCAATGCAAAATGCAACGTACGGGGTGAACACCTGACTTCACCCCAGACAAATGTGCCTTTATGAGCCCTCCAGTACTGACTACCGACTGCATTTTCGTTGAATGGCATGAAAAAACACAAAAATCGGAAAATGAGTAGGGGGGGGGGGGGGGGGGGGGGAGGGGGGCTGCGCCTCCCTACCTCCATTTGGCTAGAACCCTGATGCCGCTAGCTTGTCTGGTGAGATGTGCTTTCCTTTGTTTTCCTACTAGCACCATGTGCATGTGAGATTTGGGAGTTCTAACCGCGGAGTGTCTTGTTTATTCTCTTCCATTTTATTTTGATGTGCACTCCATTGTTGCATCCCTAGGTGACAAGCAAGCAGAGTTGACCAAGCTTCAAGAACGCTTTGCAAAGCTGAAGGGCGGTCTGGTCAAGATGAAGGCGGAAGTGGCCGAGCTGAAGGAGACGGTCAGTTTTCACAAACTTGAGTCTTTTAGCTAGTGGTAATTCGTTCGACATACACAGTGGGTAGTTGGTTTTGATTCAGCATCCAACGTTGCTCTGCACCCTGCAAGAGATGTCGGTATTCCATTCTTGAGGCTTGCATACGACACGATTAGCAGTACCGGTAATAAAGGCAGATCATCAGTTATGACTGTTTGCAGATGATTATGCCCACCGCACGCTGTGTGCAGTACTAGTGTGCCGCGATCGGCTATAGTGGCATTTCGAAGGTATGGCCAGTACTATTGCCTGCTAGCATATGTCCCAGCCTGGCTGTATCCATACTCTAACCGTATGATCATATATATGTTTGGCAATACTGGCCAAGGCGCTTAGTTGTTTGCGAGCCCTACAATTTCGCCCAATTTGAAAAGTGACCAACAACAAACGTACGCTGTGGCAATGGCTGCAAGAGTCGCCAACCTCCGATGTGTGTGATGATTGGTGTGGTGATATGCTGTGTACATGTCTCTACTGCTGCACTGGGAATCCTGTGCTTGTGCCTGTAGAATGCGGAGCTGAAGACAAAGGTATCGACAGTGGACGATTCCGCCGCTGACCAGCTCAAGGTAGGCATCAGTCAGTTCACTCCTGCTGGGCTACAGTGCTTGTCGCAGAAGCTCATCACAGGGAACTGTGCTGTGTGCTGTAGCAAGCTTTCTCGAATCTATGTGTCCCCATTTATGAATACGAAAACATCTTTTGATTTGAGCTGGCTTTCTGTGTGCCAAACGACTGCTGGCTGACTGTCTTAATCTCTGGGAAACACCACTACTTTTCTTTCTTTTCTTTAAAGTAGTGGTGTTTCCTGCAGATCAAGACAGTCACCCAGCAGACCGTCGGGACACAAAAAGCTGGCTCAAATCAATATAATATTTAAAAAGTAACATTGGCCATCGCCTACTTTCTAGTCCTGTACTTTGTATCAGGTGTCAGCGTGTGGCTTCATTATGGTGTGTGTATTATGTATGCACACCTGCACTTAGATGCAGGATGGCAGTGTACTCATTCTTATTCTTTATTCTCACTTGTTATGGCCGTTGTTTGCTGTAGTGGATGTACACATTGGTATGTTTGAATTGTGTCCACGGTAATGAGATGCAGAGGGGAGACTAGCATCTACAACTTTTGTTTCAATCTGTTGTTTGTTGATGAAAACTTTTTTTTTTAACATCACAACGAATCCTTGATGTTCATTGTTTTGATTTGTAGAAATCACAGCAAGATCTGTTGGAAACCCAGTCGTCTCGAACTAATCTTCTTTTGCAGCTGGAGGACTCTGAAAAGGTATGCCACCACCACCACCACCACCGCCCCTACCACCTCTGCCTGTACCAACAATTGTACTGTTGCTGTTTTGAGTTCCACGTGACCTGTTAGCTCAACGTAAAAAAAATATTCAGTTCACTGTGCCTCTTTCTTTTGCGTACTCCGTTACAGAGGCAAGGCCAGAGCGAGGAGAAACTTCGCTTGACTGTTCTAGAGCTTGACAGTATTCGGGAGCAGCTCAAGGTGTGTTGTAGTTGCAGTATGTCGGCTGTCCGCTACTGACAGCATGCATTGGTTTGCATTGTCGGTGCGGTGTAGAGAATATCTGCGTGTGGTCTGCTGAATGCTGATCATAATGCATTGAATTCATACGGGAGGGGCAGTATGCTTGTAGGCAGATATTTCTTGTGAGTATATTGAAAGGTGGTTGGTTAGTTCCAGTGGCCTTAGACTTAGAGAAAACGATGGTGAATATTATCATTGCGAGCTGTGTGAGTGCTACTCTAACCCTGTATTTATGTGTGTTTTGTGACTGCTGCCCAGACTGCTGAGCAGGCATCCCACCAGCGAGATGCTGAGCTGCAGGAAGTACAGCAGCAGTGTGATGGCATGCAGAAGGAGAGAGGTGTAAGTTCAGTTTGGCTGCCTCAATGTAATCAATTGGATCTCCTGCTCCGTGGAGCTTGGCCTCGGGAAGGCGGCTTTGTTGCAGCGGATTAAATTTTAGACCCGAGTGTCGCACATTTCCTTTTACCGTAGTGTCTTGTATTGAAGCCTGTCTCATATAGAAGCCTGTTTTGAATACAAGCCTGATTTCAAGATACACTGTCGGCACATAAGTGTGTCTGTGCATGTGCGTGTGTGTGTGTGTGTGTGTGTGTGTGTGTGTGTGTGTGTGTGTGTGCGTGGGTGTGTGCATTTGTGTGCACGTGTGATTATCTGAACTTCCTTACAGCAACTAAAGGAGCACATTGTCCAGCTGCAGAGCAGCATGACGTCCCTGGAGTCGATGCTGGCAACTGAACGGAAACGCGTTGCGGATGAGCGTGCCCTGGTGACAGGGGTAAGTGTTTGAGAGTGTAGTCGTGTTATTGTGAAGTCCCACATCACCGTAGTTCTGCAAGTACAGTAAAACCTGTGACTAACGGCCACCCCTTGGGGCCAGAGAAAGCGGTCTTTAGTGGTAGGTGGTCCTTAGTTAGAGGTTTGCACCGCAAAACCATATATGAATGTGATACCGTCCGTGCCTGGCGAAGTGGTCTGTAGTACCAGGCTGGTCGCTAGTCACGGTGGTCTTTAGTTACAGGTTTTACTGTAACAGACCGATCTACTGTCTTGTTTTTTCTTCAGCCAGCCCCTACCCTGATTTTGTGTCGCGCCGTCTTTATCTTTATTTGAGCATGCAGGTCTTGTATTGTTTCAACCCAGTCTTGTCTGCAGAATGAGCCTACAATATTGAATACGGTACCATAGCAAATCGTGCATTGTCTTTGACGTTCATCTGTTGTATTTGTGCACCGATTTGTTGTAATGCCCAGCTACGCCAAGAAGCGGATTCTGTTCGCAGCAAGTACGAAGACCAGTCACAGAAGCGCGAGAGCCTTGCAAAGGAACTAGAGCAAGTGCGGAAAGTAAGTTGTGGCAAGTTTGCAGCCATTGCCATGTCAATAGCGGACAGCTCCATTGCACAGTTTGTTGTGTACGTAGTGGGAACATGATGTGTGGATGTATGACGACCAGTTTCCACTGGTAGACCCACGGAACATGATGAGCATGTGCACTGAGAGATCCACGGAGCATGATAAGTATGTGCACTGTATTTAGTGAAATCCCGGCACAGTGCAGCAGGCAGTACCAGGTACTGTGCAGCCCCAGCCTGGCCAGCACTGGCTTGTGTATGGTGCTCACTTGCTTATGAGTCTGGATTACATTGGCAGCCCATGCAAGCATGGTTTGAGTGCATCTGATCTTGCATCTGTGTGAAGTTGGTGTGCATTGTCCTGTACCAAATCATTCTCACCTCACTGCACACCCTGATGTGTGTCCTTTATTTGCAATTGCAGGAAGCGAGCAAGTCGAACCTTATGAATCTGGAGCTGGATGACTATGAGCGCACCATCACATCTCTGGAGAGCCGCATCAAGGAGCTAGAAGGCAAAGTAGCCGAGGCCGATACACTGTATGAAAAGCAAGTCACTATATCTGAAAGCTTCAAGAAGGATGTTGGTAAGCTGGCCGCCACTGCTTCGTGCTCTCGAGTTGTTGTTCTCTCCGGAAGGATTGAATGTGTAATATAAGTTAGTGTTGATCTCATCGTTATGCTCGTTCATGTGTGCACGTGTGTGTGCATGCCGCCTTGAGGTTGGTCCCGGACAGTTGTGGTTCGTTTGTCACTGAGTACTAGTAATAATGTACATATATACGGAAGCCTTGCTTGGTACAGTCAGGCCTCGTTTATCCGGTCCTCGTTTATCCGGATCCCTCGCCATCCGGAAGAAAATCGTTGGTTACCAATTTACAGCATATGCCATGCTTACATACAGTATGTGTGTTCGATTATCCGGTTCCCTCGCCTATCCGCATATTTTTGTGGAAAACGGATGTGTGCGGTTATGCGAGGTGTGACTGTAGTTTAACATGCTGTCAAAATCGAAAAACATGTTAATAATGTACATGTAGTTTGGTTGTGCATTGCTTTGCTTTACTTTGTACGGCTACTGTTCATTTATTTTTCTTCGACATACACAAACCCAACTCGGTGAAGAAGTTGTCGATGAAAATAGAATTTGACGCATTTGGAGACGCAACTTCTCAAATTTGAAGTACCGGTACTACAGTACAGCATTTCAATGATTTGGACTCTTCTTCAGGTTATGAAGCCATCCATTTGCCACTCGTCAGAAGAATGTAGAATACAACTCCCCTTAAGTGAGGAAGGTGTTTGGCAACAAACACCCAAGTAAACAGTCGTATGTCTGTTTCTAATTGCGAGCATCATGAATGATTCCAATTAGCTGGCTGTTGTATAACCAATTTGTTCTTCTTGTTCAATACTCCCAACCCTTAGCTGCTGTCGAAGGACAGAAGGTGCAAGCTGAAAAGGACAAAAGCAAAATCAAGCAGCTTGCTTTGAAGACAAAGAAGGAACTAGCTGATGCGCAGCAGCAGGTAAGGCCTCTACTTTCCCAGTACATGTACCAGCACAGTTTTTGGCAGTGACTGTACACTCATCCACATGTGTTGTTGGTAACTTCCCTTGCCGCCCTGTTACCTTATCCTAGTCCCACTATCCCGGCAGCTTGCCATCCAGTGACACAGGACTTTGTTTAGTGGAATCAGCAGATCGGCACATGTATATTATAATTATGCTATGCTGTACAAAGTTATTTTTTTTACAAACATAGTGTATTTGCTTCTTTTTTTTCAAGCCTCTTTTACAGGCAAATTAACATAGCGTATTTGCTCCACAGTGTCCAGTGGGGTCACTCAGTTGTGTGCACATGCAACATACCTACCAATAGCAGAACTTCACTTGCCACCAATATACCGTATTTCCCCGTAAGTTAGTACGTACTAACTTTCGAACTTAGCAGCCACATGAGTACTAACTTTCGGGGAGTACTTTTTTTATCGGGGGTAAATGACACGCAGTGGGAAGCCTGCGCAACTCTAGTGTCCGTAGTATGATGTATGTACTGTACGGTGTCTGTACATGTAGGACGGGTACGAACTTACTATCTTTCGGGGGGAATTGTCTTTCGGGGTGATAACCTCGGTAGTGGAAAGTGTATTTTTTATAGGGGGTACTAAGTCATTGGGGAGAACTAACTTACGGGAAAATACGGTAGTAGCAGTATGATTACTCACGAATTCAATGCGTGTTTAACCCTGACTGCTTGGTTTTTTTTGGCTCAATTCCTGCGGCTGTGCGATCACGGTAGATCTCAACGCTGGAAGAAGAGCACAGAGCACTGCGTGATCAGCTAGAGAATGCATCACAGTCGACTGAGTCTGGAAAGGTAAGACATACCACCCATCAGTGTATTTAGTGATTCTGGATTATCCTAAACTGGTTATGTCCCCTGATCTTTGAGCAGTGAACATGCTTGGGACTGTCCTGAGTGTTATACCATTGTACTGTTGTCTCTCTATCGCACACCCTCACACAAGTTAGAGGTGAATTATGTTGGCTGTGTGGAGAGAATAGCTTGTGTGATTTCTCGTCGGATTGGTGTCTGTCTGTACTGCTTTATCCATGCCGCACACACACGCGCGCACACACACACACACACACACACACACACACACACACACACACACACACACACAGACAGACAGAGTGTTTGTCTGTGACTGCGGATGTTCAAGGCTATACATGTGCTCAGAGGTACTGTAGGCGAGTGTAGAGGGTGTCCAGGTTTTCTGACCTGTATGGATACTATACTTGTAGCTGTGCTTTGCTCACTGCCAAACATGGTCACGTGGGTCTCCCCGGGAGAGCGGAGAGAGACTCAAAAGGAATCTTGGAAAGATGACTCAATGAATACTGTGCTATAGACTGGCGTACAGGGTGTCCATGCTCACTGACCTGAAGACATACGATAGACTAGTGTGGAGGCTATGTAGGCTCACTGACTTGGTGTTGGAACGGTAGGAGCTGGCAAATTTCCCCACCGTGGATGAATGCAATGGTATCATGTGAGTAGAGCGGGTAACCTCTCCTGCTGCTTTGATGTCCGCTGTGCTGCAGGTGGAGGTATCGCAGATGGCGACAGAGCTCGTCACTCTTCGTGAACAGCTGCAGGTCCAACTGGAGGCGCACCGTCGAACGGAGCAGTTGCTGCAACAGCGGCTCTCTTCAGCGCAAGCTGAGCTGTCCTCTTCCAAGAACCAGCTGGCAACCGTGCAAGCGGACTACGAAACGTACAAGGTACGGATTTTGCAATACTGAGCCAGTTGACGTTAACGCGATTGGGAATCACCTTTGACCTATTGTTACCATACTTCCTCTGGAAACAAAAACTTCGTGACTTTGTTATTCACATTCTAAGGAGTTACTAGTACTTGGTCCGCGTCAGCGTCAGCGATATTGTCGCTTATCTTTCAGCTTTGTTTATATGTCGCCAATGCTTACTTGGCAGCCCATTTCATCCCAATTTTGGTTAGCAAGTTAGTTTGCTAGTACCTGGAAGGTCTAGCTAGAGTTCGAGTGGATTTCGAGAGCGACGGGTGGGTGATTCTGATTGATACAGCGCCGCATCAAAATAGATTATCTTGTTACGCTGTGCAGGAAAGAGCAGCGCAAGCCACAAGAAAGTAATCGGTTACTCGGAATCAGCTCCATTTTGCGGAACGGCCGAGATCGCTCACCTCAGGGATCGCTCGTCAAGCTGAGATCGCAGCTCCCTTACCTCCAGCTCAGCGCTCGGAGTATCCAGCGCATCGTGGAGATTTGCAAGTACTCTACGCGTCGTCGTTGTCGTTCATCATACAATCTTTCAAAGAACGGCGTCTGATTCGAACCACACAGGCTGTCATGCCGCCCATGCGAAGTCCTATAGAGAAGGCGACCGTCACGATCGACTTCTCTTTAGAAAATAGCCAGGCAGCGGAGAGGAAGAGAGATGAGCTTGCAAAAGCAAGAGTGTCGATCCCGAGCAAAAATATTTGTCACCAGCGCCGAGAGCAGCGACGAGGAGGACCGAAAAAGTAGGAACCCTTCCTTGGACAATAAATTCCTCACAGCTGGTTGTCATTCTATACCTTACCGTCCATCGTACCAAGTTTTATCACTTCAAGTGCACGCGTTCATATCCAAAGGCTAAGTTCAAATTGTCAAAAGATAAGCGACAATATTGCTGACGCGGACCAAGTACATGAACTGTCCTCAAGAAATTTGGTTCAGTGGAACAGAAGCACTTCAAGACAATGAATAGACAATCAAGACAATGAATAGACTTTCTTCTTTGCAGTATGTACACTGTTATACCAAAGAAACTGGCACAGCTTGAGTCTCACACAGAGTCGCCATCGCTCGATTCCTCACGGCTCAATTCCCCAGAATTACTTACGAATCGGTCGAAGTCACGAAGTTTTCTGTCCGGAGGTAGTATTTGTAGTTGTCAGTGGAACAACCGATCACCGCACTTCTGTTTTCGCTGGTGATCTAATTGAAATAGACTACAACAGTAAAACTGATCTCACACTATGAATGGGCTGTAAGCTTGTAATGGACAGTGTGCTTGTGTAACACGCCAGCCCATGATACAGTAAAACCTGGTGTAAAGTGTGGGACCTGGTTCTAAAGACTACCTGGCTTTAACGACCGCTTTTGCTTGCACCGTCGGGTGGTCGCTTAAACCAGGTTTTAGTGTACATAGAATCTCTCTGTTGTTCGCACACAGGTATGAGTGCATCGTGTGGACAGTGTGTTTGTAACTTTGTACGTCTAGCCAGCCCATGACACATAGAATCTCTCTGTTGTCCGTACGCAGGTGCGAGTGCATAGTGTGCTCAAGCAGCAGAAACAGAAGCCACAAGCCCCAGAGGATTCATCGCTGAAGGAGCTCTGGTATGTTTGCGCGTGCCAAATTTATACAGGCAAATATCGCGCATGCCTACTGTCATTCAAAACATGGACTTCAAGAGGCAAAAAGTGACTTGTGAGCAATACTGGCTCACACTCGATCACTGTTTTTCACAAATTCATTTCAAGAAAATATTTTCAACGTTTCGGTCATAAAATAACCATCATCAGGAATGAAGTGGGCACACTAGTTAGGATGGGTTTATAAATGAGGAGCGACTGCATTAAAACAAAACATCACAAACAAACAAACAAACAAATCTGGTATAGGTTAAATAATCTACGTGGAGATAATAATTTTAATATAGCTATGAATAGGATGAAGGCCGCAGACATCACGCAACTACGTTACTTGTTCGACATGTATTTACTGTGTATTTTATAACAAAATATTATTGAAAACCCATAATCGATTTTCTTGTTCCTATCATCAGTGGGAAAAATACGGAACTAAGGATACAACCAAAGAAACTGAATTTAAGTACTGTAAATAGAAATGTGTTAGAAATAACAACAAAATACAAGTGCAATAAAACCACTAGAGGAAACGCAAAAAGGTAACAAGATTACGTAACCAAAGGCGAGAAGGCGCTAAATGAAGTGTCAACCTACGAATACAACTTCAGTGCAACAACGTGCTCCTTCTGCTTACACAAAACAGGCTTATGAATACGTATACAGACTGCCTCAAGGACTTTCAACTGTTGGACATAAGGTTTTTTTGTTTTTTGTTTTTTTTTGTGATGTTTTGTTAACCTCTTTTCTCTCTCAAAGGGTGGAGGTGGAATTACACTCTTCTCCCTTGTGATAGTACATGCATGTGTGAATTATTATCACTGTGATCTCCTTGCAGCCGCTCCTCATTTATGAACCCATCCTAACCAGTGTGCCCACGTCATTCCTGATGATGGTTATTTTATGAATGAAACGTTGAAAATATTTTCCTGAAATTAATTTGTGAAAAGCAGTGATTGAGTGTGAGCCAGTGTTGCTCACAAGCCAATTTTTACTTACTTCGAAGTACGAAGCTGTGTAATGCGTCCTACAAGATTTCAGGAGGCAAGGTCAGAAAAGTAGGCCCTAGCACTAAATTAATTGATGTCACAGTTATAATTACGGAGAAAATACGATCGCGTTCGCAACATGGGTCAACTGTAAAGCCAGAAACAGGAATGTGTTTGCAAACGGGGAACACATCATGACAGCACGACAACACAGCCGGAAATGGACATGTGCAGGTGAATGGGTTGGTGCCGGAAGAAGCACAAACATGATCACGACTGGTTCTCATGACAATGCGGGTACATATTTTTGGCAATACATGTGCTGGCCAAAAAAACGGTCTACATGTGCATGTACTTTGTAGTGTAGTGTATTCTTCAGTTGCCTGTCTGCAGTGTTCAGTGACTGATCTTCGGATCACTGCCAGGTGAATAAAAGAATTTTCCGGTTCTCAGCCATACTTTCTGTTCTGCTCGTCGTCTCCAGTGATCAGCGTGCGGACTCTGTGCAGCAGCTGAACCGCCAGCTAGCCGACATGACGTGAGTATGGTCGTGTCCACGATGTGTAGTAAGCTGTGTTCTTTCCAGTCAGTCACCGAAATCAAGTCATGAGCCGGTATGTAGGAAATTAACGTTGGTTGTTCCCAGCAAGCCTAGTATGACTTACTGAGTCTGTGTCTGTCAGTAAGCTAGTCAAACTGTACAGGAATCGCTGTGTGCATAAATGTCAGCATTACATGGGGTACAACAACGCACTGCACTGCCTTTGTAGTACAACTACAGTGTAGTTATGTAACCTTGGCCTGAGGTTACAATTACATTCACAGGAGCATAAACTCCCCAGCCCCCAGCCAGGCACCAGTTCCAACCATGACAAGACGTTGAGATCAAAACTGCAACTCTCAAGTCCAAAACATTCTCTCGAAGCAAAAGGAAAACCAGCATCATAACAGAGCGAGCCAACGAAAGGATACGCATGCGTGTGTGCCTGTGAGTGTGTACGAATGACGTATGCATACATGTCATGAAGTAGAGTCACATTCATAGCTACAATCAAGAGTGGAAATATTACTACGCCAAACGGAACATGGGCAACATGTTACACCTCCCCCCTCGTTACAGAGGGAACGATAGTGACTGAAAGTTACAAAGCTTAGAGCATATCCGTGATAGCTTTCTACATGAGAAAATAAAATACTGGAAAGTGAAATTTAATAATGTGGGCGCAAGTATGTTACAAGTGTAGTTAATCGGTGTGAGGTACAATGGAAAGTTTAGACTCTACTAATGCTACATAAGTGGACTGTGAAACAGCAAGTGAAATGCTCGACATTATTCATACTAACCTAACAACAGGCAAGACTGTGTGAAATATGTGTATAGAAATAGAACTAAGAATGTACAATTTCTCAATAATCACACTGTACAGTCATAGACACTCCTTGAGCAAACCTTGCCGGCGGCTGAATTTTTGCACGGTTCCGCAGATCATAGTGATGCACAACAGGCACAGGTGCATGATTCAGTGCTGCGGCTGGTGGCGGCACCGGCGCAGCAGCAACTACTGGTGCAGGTGGCGCCTGCACTGGAGCCGGGATTGGTCTGGTTGCACATTATACTCAACATCAGGCTTGTAGTAGTGACTACACCCAATTTCCAAAACTTGCTCCGATCGCTTCGATTTTGGTCTCATTCGATTCTCCCAGGCGTAGTACATAGGAAATCTGTAAGTATTATTCGAATCGGCCCAGCCATTCTTGAGTTATAGTGATTTGAAGTGCGCCACGTTGGACTTTTGCTGGAAACAGAAATGAATGGGAGCGATGGGAGAATCGAGAACGACCGCACAGTCCGTGCATGCAGTACAGTGTACAGTGCACACGCCTCGTCACTCGAACTGCGCCTACGAAATTGCATACTAAGGTATGCTGGCGCAGAACAAATTCGCTCGTAGAGGAAGACGAAAGCGTCTCACCGCCTTGTAATTTCACATGTCCAGTAGTTTTTCGACGCTGAAGACGATGCAATAGTCCGCGACGCTGCGACCCGACCAGAACAACCCGAAATTCATACCCTGAAAAAGCGCTGAGCGTAGAGCTCCTAAATTTTGTCGTATGGAAACGGGACTTCGGGTCTCAAGGGCACGAACATCTCCTCTCTCAGATAAAGCAATTCACTCGATGCGATATTCTACAATTTGACCTGGCCACGCCGAAATGCACTGCCATGTCGGATTCTCCCATCGGAAGTATAGAAACTTGTTTCCAAAAAATCAGCGTCTGGGTGCGAGGGAGTAAAGTCACTACTTGTAGTCGGCAATAGAAGTCGGAGGCGAGTTCGGTACGAGCTCATTGGCACTTGCAGGCAGATCAGAGCCAGTCCAAGCCTTCAGACGGTCAACGTGAACAGTCTGGGTTGTGCCGGATTTGTCAGCTATCCGAAGTACTACATCGTCAACACGTTCTAGCACAGTGTACGGGCCTTTCCAAGGTCGATGGAACTTGGAAGTCGTACCTGGTTTGACGGCAGGAGAATGCAACCGAACCATGTCACCAACGTTGAGTTTCGGTTGTTTAGCGTGCTTGTCATAGTGGGCCTTCTGCCGTCGTTGGGCTGTTGCTCCAGCATCACGGGCATGCGAGAACGCTCGTTGTAGATTGCGTCGTAAGTTGATAACATACGTGTTCACATGGGAGCGCTCAGAGTCTGGTGACTGAAACATCACATCAACTGGCAGGTGGATTTCATGACCTAACATGAGCATCGCTGGCGTCTCCTTGGTCGAGGAGTGCACACTAGACCGGTAGGCTAGCAGACAACGTTGCAGATAACGGTCCCAATTGGTGTGGTGGTCGTCGACGTGAGCAGCCAGCATTTGCTCCAGTGTGCGATTCATCCTCTCGACGAAGCCGTCACTCTGGGGCCGGTATGCTGTTGTACGTGACTTTCTGATATCCAACAACTGACAGATCTGCTGGAATAACCTCGACTCAAATTGCGCACCACGGTCAGAGTGCAGCTGGTATGGAATACCATAACGACAGAAGAAGCCGTCAACAAGGACATGTGCTATTGTTTCAGCAGTATTATTCGGTACAGGAAACGCTTCTGGCCACTTAGTGAAATAGTCACAAATGACGACTAAATACTTGTTACCGCTAGGCGTAGTAGGCAGTGGGCCCATAATATCAATAGCAACTTTCTCTAGCGGGAATGATGGGCGGTCTTGGACAAGCGGAGCTTTGGCCTTTGGTAGCGGTGCTTTGCGGCTCTCACAAATATCACATGCTTGGCAAAAATCACTAACTGCAGACGACATGAAGGGCCAATAACACCGCTTGCGAAGCTTGTCTTGTGTTCGCTCAATATCTAAGTGGCTTCCAGAGACATCAGCATGCACGGACTGAAGCATGCAGGATTGCAGAGACTGTGGTACAACAAATTGTAGGTATGAAGTGTCGCTATTCTCGGGGTGGTAAACCCGGTACAACATTCCATCAACCAGTCTAAGACGCTTCCACTGGCTCCATAATCGTATCAATGCAATAGACGCACCGTGCATGGCAGGATCACTACGCAGGGGCCTGTCAAGTAATGCCTCCTGCCAGCCGATCATCGTACTCACATCTGCATCTTCTAATTGAGCTCTGCGCAACTCTTCAACATTGAAAGACTCGCACCAATTGGGTGGCGACACTTCAGCATTGACTGTTACAGGATTACTATCAGGACTAGCGCTAGACAGGTGATTCACAACAATATTCTGCTCACCTACTCTCTGCTCGGGCGTTGGCGTCGGTGAGGTTGCGGTAGCCGGGCTGTGGCAGCGGAGTCTTGACAAGGCGTCTGCATTGACATGCTGCTTCCCGGGCCGATGTGTGACGACGTAGTCGAATACGGCCAAACGCTCAATCCACCGGGCTAGAAGACCGTCCACTTCCCGGAACGAATGCAGCCAGATGAGCGCTTTGTGATCAGTTCGCAATGTGAACTGATTTCCAAGTAGTTAATGGCGGAAATGTGCAGTAAATGTGACAACAGCAAGCAGCTCCTTGCGTGTACTACCCATGTTACGTTGGGATCTCGTTAATGCTTTGCTGGCATAGGCAATCACTACTTCCTCACCATGACTATTGACTTGCGAGAGAACAGCTCCCATGGCGAGATCTGATGCATCAGTGTCCAGGATGAAGCGCTTTGCAGGATCAGGATATGTTAGAACAGGTGACTTGACTAGTCGGGACTTCAGTTCAGCAAATGCCTGTTCACACTCATCTGTCCAGTTGAAAGTGGCATTCTTCTGGGACAAACGGTTCAGGGGCTCTACAATTTCTGAGAAATGTGGCACAAAGCGGCGATAGTACGATGCGAAACCAACAAAGCTACGCACCTCTTTCAGTGATGTTGGGGATGACCAGTGTTGAACAGCCGTGAACTTGCTTGCGTCCGGTGCCACACCTTGCTCTGAGAATAAGAATCCCAGGTATGTGACTAAGGACTGAAGCAGTGAGCACTTCTTGGGCTTGATCTTGAGGCCAGCTTGACGAAGACGACTGAATATTGTTTGCAGACGACTCATGTGTTCCTCAATCGTTGATGAGAACACGATAATGTCGTCCAAGTAGACCAGACAGATATTGGGTACTAGGTCACCAAGGACCCGGTTCATGAGGCGTTGGAAAGTTGCCGGTGCGTTACACAGGCCGAACGGCGTACGGTTCCACTCGAATAATCTGAATGGTGTCACAAGCGCCGACTTAGCTTTGGCAGCTTCATCTATCTTCACCTGCCAATAGCCAGCTGCGAGATCTAAGGTAGAGAAGTAGCGTGCACCAGCCATAGCGTCGATAGCATCATCCACACGAGGAAGGGGAAAGGCATCCTTCTCGGTGATACTGTTCAACTGCCGGTAGTCGATGCATAGCCGGATAGATGAGTCAGGCTTGCATACGACAACTATCGGAGCAGCCCAAGGGCTTCTGGATGGAGATATAATCTCATGATCAAGCAGTTAATCAACGTGCTGCTTTACCTCGGCTCGTTGACTGAGAGGAATTCGGCAGGGTGGCTGTCTCTTAGGTTGATCAGATGTAGTCTGGATGTTGTGCGTTACTACATCAGTCTTCCCAAGGTCGAATTGCCCCTGCGAGATGACATCGGCATTGTCGTTGAGCACAGTAGCTATAGCAGACTGCGCTTGCGGATCGAGGTGACGTAAGTCAAATAGATCGTCTGGCTCGGAAGGTGAGCAGCTCTCTTCCTGTACTGCGTTACAGCTATGCTCGTCAACAGAGGCAGCATGCGTAGGCGAATCATTGAGATCATCGTCAATGTAAATATCAGAATCAAATTCAGCAATTTGATAATTCTTCGGGACAGTTGTGGAATGAGGAAGAAAATTTTGTAGGCGAATCCAAACACGGCCAGCAGAGTCAGGAGTAGCCACCACACGTGACATAGCAGTGCTAAACTTGGAAATAAACTTCTCTGAGGGTGAAAAAAACCCAGCAGAGCTAGGTAAATGATTATCATCGGTACGCAGCTGAGCTTGAACAATGACTTGTGTATACGCTGGTACAGTAACCGAATTAGCAAGATGAACACGGCAGACTACAGGATTAGCATTATGGGTGGGCTCTAGGGGCACATCGACACCGCCTGCATCGAGCATGTTGCGACCGAAATCAATTGTGCAGCCATGAGATTGCAAGAAGTCAATGCCGATTAGCACATCGGGCATAATGTCAGCAACAATGACTCTGTGGCGTACAGCAAGCTTGCCAGTTGCTAACAATACGACAGCTTCCCCGAGCACAGGGACAGAAGAATTATTTACCACTTTAAGAACAGTATTAACGGGTGAGATAGATAAATGAACATTATGATGAGAGAGAGACTTAGCAAAGCTGGTGCTCAACAACGTTACGCAACTGCCGGTGTCCACAAGCATGTTGGCTGGTACAGCCTCAACCGTGCCTTGGATCTGCACCGTGCTGTCGGACTGTGTTGCAAGACACGACAGAGGCAGGACGATCGAGTTGTCTGGACACTCGGCTGGAGTAGTTGTGCAGGCCTGATAAGTTGTCTCAGTAGGTAAGCAGACAGCCTCATGACATACCGAACACGGTTCACTCTGCTTACCGGTACATGGGTCCATTGGGGAGGTTGCTGACGGCGGACCCTGGTTGTCAGCGACGCTCAGTTTCCCCGACCGCGTCCACGACCCCGGTGACCACCACGGTTAGCCGGTGTGTATCTCTGGTGCGGACAGTCAGGTGCGAAATGCATTGTGCTGTCGCACACATAGCACCGCTTAGTGTCACCATCTCCACTCCGATGCAGATTAGTTGGCCTCTCCAGCGTGAGCCTGGAGATCTTGTCCTCCAGGGCTGCCATCCTCGACAGCAGGGCGTTGAGTGTAGGGTCACTGGGTTGAGATTGCACCGCACATATAGCTGGGCTAGCTGCCTGCTGCTGCTGGTCTGCCTCCAGGATGCGCTGAAAATGCATAGCCCGTCGGAGTGCATCATCCAATGTTGGTGGGTCCGTGCCACGAACATGCAGGCGCAGGTCCCTGCTGTCAAGGCCGGCTACAAAGGTGTCGCGCGCCAGGGTATCCTGCACTGCTCCGGCCACCGTGGAGTACGCCCGTCTACTGAGCCTGCGGACAACTTCCGCAAAGTCCGACAGGGACTCGACACGAATTTGCCGGCGTGACTGCAGCTCTGCTCTGAACGTGGGGATGAAGTTTGCGTCGCCGAATCGCTGTTCGAACGCCTGCAGCAGCTGGTCGAATGGGCCGTTCCTCGTATGGGCTTCCAAACTTTGCAAGTAAGACAGTGCGTGGCCGGTGAGGTACAACCCGATGTACCTGCTTTGGTCTGCCGGTGTCCAGTTGTTTGCATTCGCGACGAGGCGAAAATGGCCAATCCATGATGTCCATTCGGCGATGCGCTCGCCAGAGAATTTCTCTGGCGTGGCCCATGCCCGCATCTGCTGTTGTGGACGTGCTGGTTGTTGCGCTGGGCCCGGTGGTGGTGGTGGAGGGGGCGGAGGAGCGCCACCTTGCTGAGCCATCTCTACACGATCAGTCTTCCACAAATAATTTGGTACGCGTGCTCTCACAAGACGTGGAATTCGAATTCGCTGCCACCACGTGTAACCTTGGCCTGAGGTTACAATTACATTCACAGGAGCATAAACTCCCCAGCCCCCAGCCAGGCACCAGTTCCAACCATGACAAGACGTTGAGATCAAAACTGCAACTCTCAAGTCCAAAACATTTTCTCGAAGCAAAAGGAAAACCAGCATCATAACAGAGCGAGCCAACGAAAGGATACGCATGCGTGTGTGCCTGTGAGTGTGTACGAATGACGTATGCATACATGTCATGAAGTAGAGTCACATTCATAGCTACAATCAAGAGTGGAAATATTACTACGCCAAACGGAACATGTACAACATGTTACAGTTACATTCTGATATACTTGCTATTCATATCTCCCTCTGCATTTAACTCTTTCTCTCTCTCTTTCTCTCTCTCTCTCTCTCTCTCTCTCTCTCTCTCTCTCTCTTTCTTTCTCTCTCCAACTCCCACTATGTGTGGCGTTCAGTGAAGCATTATCAACAAGTTCCAAGGAGCGAGAGGAGGTGGAAGATGAGCTTCAGCAGCTGAATGACCGGTACTCCATGCTCCGTGCAGAAGCTCAGCAACAGGAGCGGGACTTCCGTGACAGGTAAGTCATTGTCCCGCTCTCCGAGTTCTCAGTGTTCTCAAAGAGAGGAACACGTTTGCAGTGACTCTCTCTCTCTCATAACTTTACACCACACTCCGTTTTACCATACCCCGCTTATTTTGCCCACAGCTCTTGGCCAGGAGCCTGTCCTTGGCTGATTTTCCACTTAGCGAGGCATGCACACTACTCTGAGCAGGTGGTGTGCCTTTGGACGCCATCATTTTGACAAGAAATCGAATGGCAGTGCGATGAACTTGAAGCATGCACAACTAGAGCAAAGACAATAGCCTAAGAGAATTGGGAAGGATTGGTTGTGTTGGAAAACGAGGCTGAGTGTTTTTTTGTTTTGTTTTTAATTCAAAACTATTACTTTGGAAATGGAGGGATTTTGGGCCTAACACACTGTCACATTCCAAGGCCGAGCCTCCGACATGCAACAGTGCACGCTTCCAGTTCGTATTCTCCATCTGAGTCTTTGGGTTCTTTTGTGGACCTTGCTTGAAGACTGACACATTTTTCTTTCGTCTCCTGTTCTTCAGATTGGAGAAGTTGCAGACGCAACATGCCTCCTCGGAGCTAGAGCGTGTGGAAACGATGCGACAGCTCAACTCGCAGAGTGAAGCGTTGACTGCTGCTTTCAAGGTAATGTGCGCAGAGATAGGTTAACAGTTTCCTCGGAGACAAGAATGCAAGGATACTGAGAAGAAGGACACACTTCAGGCTCTTGAACATCTTGAAAGTTTTCACTAGTATTCTTTCATGCCTTATCATGTGGAAATACAGGCAAAATCGAATAAGTTACTTTACATTTCGATAGTGGTGATGGAGTCGCTGAGCATCCTACTGTCAAGGTTGCATGTGACTGGATCATGTGATCTCAATGTGCTACGTTGATTTATTTAAACTCGGATGGTGATGGTTGTTTTATTTGTTCTTTCCTTCTGTGTATAGTCCTAGAAGAAAGAAAGAATGCGTATACGAGTAGAGTGGTTTCACATCTTGGTCACGTGACTAACGTTGTGTAGAAAGTGGTCATGGCATGTGGATAGTGGAACCAACATGGCCGACATCATGTGACCTATAGATGCATGAGTTGAATGGAGTTGGAACCAACGTGGCTGTCCCGTATGATCATGTGATAGATGTGAAAGCACTCTTTTCAACTGGGCACCAAAGTGCATAGTGCATACACTTCTGCTTTGTCCTAGATGGCCGGTGTCACTTGTGAGTTGAAGAGTTAAGTCATGTCTGAATGGTGTCCGATATTAAATTTTTCTCCCCCCCCCCCCCCCCCTCTCTCTCTCTCTCTCTCTTTCTTTCTCTGTATGTATGTCACATTGTGTGTGTGTTCTCAGGAGGAGACGGCACGACTGCGTGACCAGCATGCTTCTGAAGCAAAGTTCATGTCGGAAAGGAATCAGTCTCTTCAAGACCAGCTTGCCTCTGTTATTGGCCAGCTAGGCAGTGCTGAAGAGACTGTCGCTCAGCTGCGCTCTAAGATCGCATCCGAGCAGGCTCAGGCGACGATTGGTGCTGCCAGTGGCAAGTCTCAACAGCACCGCGCGGTTGTGAAGCCCCTGTCTTTACAGCTGTCGGGCAGTGCAGCTAGCGAGGTATGTATTCTCTATCAGTTTGTGCTGTGTTCCCCCTATGCATGGTGCTGTTGGTTTTCACTGGGGGCTTAGAATTGTGAGACCCTTTCAGCAACACAGGGTTCTGTAATCTGTATCTGGCTCATGGGCCTATTTTCATGAAAATTTCATAGCTTGTTTGAAGTTGTTTACGTGCAGCAATGGACCATCTTTAAGGACCTTTCGCATCTGCTGCGAATCGAATGCGAAACGATAGTTTGATTCGGCTCGTCCTCGTTTCGTTGAAAACAGATTCAGGTTTCGCAAGTTATCATGCTATTTTCCATGACAACTACTTGAAGTACGAATACGGCCGGCAGCTTGGCACACGCGTGTTTACACGTACATGTGCGTGGATCATGGAATCAAGGAAAAAATGTGTACCTGGCAAAAAATGTGTACCTGACGGATTCGGGGCGATCCACGAATGAAGAGGCTTCCCTTTGTGAAAATGAGCCCTCATAAGGGACTCTGACGAATCCTCGAACCCAGGCGACGAATCAGCATTCGTTTCGTGTCCGTACGCATGTTTCGAAAGGTCCCTATTGTGCAGTCTACTCTCCCAGCTGCTTGATGCCGCTTCTTAAGGAGGCTCAGACGACCAAACTCCAAAAATTTAAAAAAACATAGAAAGTTTCTATAAACTTGGGATTTTGTTCCTTGGGTAGTTCTTATGTTGATTGTGTAAAAAATTAGGGGTCACCGATATGTTTGGCGCAGTATAAGGTGTTTTGTGGAGGGGCGTCAATACATGAAATTTTGCCATTTTCAATAGGAAAAAGCTGTTCTCTTTTCTAGTGAAGGGTGTAATCCTCAAAATTTTGAATCTAGTATATGCAGGCCATAACTATGACACGTACACACCATTGATAACTGCATTAGAGAGGTTCCGGAGTACGATTTTTCATGCCAAAATCCGTAGAGGCGCTACGGATTTTTTATACGTCGTTTTTGAGTTGTGAAATGTTCCGGAGTACGAAAATTATGTGTTTGCCGTCATTGCCTAGGTTCTGATCGCAAACACGTCATATTCCCGCACTATGACTTTTTTATAGGGGTGAAAGTTGGCACTGAGATCCCGAGTTCGAGTACTCTGATTTTCTCCGATCGAATATTCGAGTATTCGAGTATTCTTGATATCCTAAAAATCGCACACCAACCGCCTCAAAAATCTCATGATACAACCCTGACTGAACCGATTGGCAGTTCTCTTCTCGGGTGTATTGGTTGGTGGGTCATTTGGGCTCTCTCTACTCGTGTACAAATGTTCACCACACAGTCTGCACATCAATATCTGCTGACTGCTGCTCTGAAACTGCAGACTTCTGTGGTAAATGTATGTACCATGTATGAGCGAGTACTCTGATTTATTCCGAGTACGATTATATTCGAAAAATCCAAACGAGTATTCGAATATTCGGTATAATTGTTTCACCCCTACTTTTTTATTTTGAAAATTTGTGTCGAAATCAAAACTTGCCGCGGAAAATCGATGTTTCTCGTACCAAATTTGTACGCCAAAAATCTTTCTGCACTCGACGACGCAGAATCTCCATACGAAACATGGTTCGTATGAAAGCCAGTCCAGACGGATTCTCCGTGCAGAAAAATCGCATGAAGCCCGCCTCGAAAAAATCCGTAGCGCCTATACGGATTTTGGCACGGAAAATCGTACCCCCGAACCTGTCTAATATCTCACTTTACTTGGGGTAATACGACAATTATTTGGTGTATTTTGCAATTGCATAAATATGGTACAGATTTGTAGGTATTCTGCACCATGGTTCAAAAATTGAACATTAGGCCATGGTAAAAATTATCTTTGATTCTCAAGTACGCGCGCACCGATTTTTGGCGGCGCACCGACGATTTTTTTTATTTCTATGCATGCATATGCGCACATGAAAACGGTCAATGCGAAAGGCATGAATCAGGGAGTAGTAAAATACCGGTATTTTTCTACTCCCTGGCCTGAATAAAAAAATTATTATGAACCTGTGACGTACTTATGTGTGACCCTATCTTTGGAAATAAAAAAATTGTGGGAAATAAAATAAAAAATCGCTCGCTCGCACCGATTTTCACAGGCTCATGACCTGAGAATCAACTTTATTTTTTACCATGGCCTTATTATTTATTATTATACGCACGTCCGCGTTGCTGGGGCCCCCATTGGATGGAGGTTGCCCAGGTTCGCATGTGCTAAACTGATTATGCCAACGCCTCATCACGAAAACAGAGAGAAACAAATCGTGGGGAAACGAAACAAGAACAGTATTCGTAGAAGCAAAAAGGAAGCTAAACGATAACAAAAAAAAACAAAAAACAAAACAAAACAAAAACAAACAAACAAATTCAACGAAGGAGAAATGGAACGGCGGACAGACTACATGAAATTGAAAACACGAGCATGGACAGAGTCGAAGGGAGGACGTGAGAGGAGAGGATTAGGGGAAGGGTACACTTAGGTAGAATGAGAAGCGAATGGGAGGTGAACAAAAGAGAAACAAGTAATGCAGGTATAATGGTAAAAAGTAAAAGGGGCTGTAAACATTACCTTGAACAACTTGTTGTTGTGTTTATTTTAATTCGCAAACCAAACGGGCAGATCTGCCCAATGAAAAGGTGGTGAATGCAGATAGAAAGCAGTAATAAATGAAATTGGGGACTGATGTAATTAGGATAGAGGTGGAGAAAACTAAGCCAGCTGATCATCAAACAGGACGTTTGGTACTCTAGGTACTAAGGGTGTGCGGGATCATGCTGGCGCGGAACTGGCGGAGCGTGGAGATGGCACGTATATCGCTGGGTAAGGTGTTCCACAGCTGGGCACCCCGGAACGCGAGGCAACCCTTGCCGAACCTGGTGCAAACTGGCGGTTGGCGCAGACCCATGGTGGAGTGCAACCTAGTCGGGCCAGCTGACGAAGGAACTAGGAGGGCTTGCAGATCAGAACTTGCGTGCCCATTCCGAGACCTCCAGACAAGAACGATGAACTTCTACCTGAATATCTCGGATACTCTGTAGGTGTCCAATTTCAGCAGGAGGGTACGCGCGGAGGTGTGATGCGAGAGTCCGAAAACCGCCCTTGCCGCCCTGATTCTTCTCCTGTTCAGTTTGAGTAGTTTTTGCTGATAGATCACGTCCACAGGGAAGGTCTTTGTGACGATAGTTGTCAGGATTTGCTTCGTAGTGCCACCATTCTCTTCGTAGCTACACCATTCTCTTCGCAGCTACACCATTCTCCACACGTTGGATGATCGCCTGTGTACATTCAATGTTCAAAATAAAAAAAGTCTGTAACCCGCATGCTAGAAGGAAGTGAAACAGCTTACAACATTACAGTACTGTCGGGCGCCGAAGAACGAACAGGCTAGAATTTCACCAAGCTCAGCATACCAATGTACACACAGTGACTCAACTGGGCATCGACTGTAGTAGATGAAAGTAGGAACGGTCTAGGCTAGGAGGCTGACCCCCGGTTCTTCGGCGACCGACAGTACTGTATGATAGAAAACCACAGCATACGAGTATTGAACCATGACACTATGATACATTCTCAATACACATGCACCGACTGACACATACCTGCGTTTCTATCAATAATTACTGATAATATCACTTTGAATATATTAGGTTTCACTCACCCTTTCAGTCATAAATTCGTGGACCTATATTCAGAGTACGAGCTCAGTAACTAATTTGAAGTAAGACCGGACACGAAAAGGTACAAATTTTGTGGTTATGCTTCAAGTCGCGCGTACAAAAGTACTAGCATGCTTAAATGGTTAACTACCTCATTAGCTGACTTCAAGTTAAGTGGGCTGTGTCGGGCTAGCCGGGAGCCCTCTGCCAAATTTACAGCTTCCCATAGCAGATTTATCTGGGTTTTGTTCAGTAATAACAAGTATAATCTCTTTTTTTTAGCTTGTACTGGCGCCCATAGCTCTGCAGGCTTTCATGCGTGGGAACTGACATTCTCGTGGTGCCATACTGCTATCAACACCACCGCCACCATGTGTTTGTGTGCTGCTTGCAACGCGTTTTGATGTCGGCTGTTTAGGAGGTCGCCAGCGCCAGCTCACCCCCAGCGGCGACGGTGGCCAGTCCGGTAGTCGCACCCTCCGTTGCAGCGTCCTTCGAGAAGCTGCTCAACTCACCGCTGGCTCTTGCCGACGACCAGGGTAAGGCAACGAAAAGCAAACCCCATTGTCAGTGTGATTGTGTTTTGCCATTGTTGCAGTGTCTCACTTTCGTAAAGAATAAGTTTTGTACTCGTTTATAGTTATGAATGTTATCTGGTGATTGCACGAGCTTGTTCTGTGTAAAATGACTAAAATCGGAATGACGGCAGAAATTTGGTTCTATCTTGGGTGTGCTATTGAATGTACCAGTGCATGTTTGTTCCACTTGTTTCTGTGTGTATTCCAGTGTCCACTGCGGGCAGTGATGCATCGAGTCGTGGGGCTGCCAGTCTCAAGCATCAAGTTCAGCACGTCACTGATCTGCTGAATGAGAGCGAAGCCAATTCCCAGCTCCTCACACAACAGGTTGCAATCCTGAAGGAAGAAATTAGACGGTACGATGTCCTGTCTCTCTCTCTCTCTCTCTCTCTCTCTCTCTCTCTCTCTCTCTCTCTCTCTCTCTCTCTCTCTCTCTCTCTCTCTACCTCCCCCCCCCCCCCCCCCATAGAAGAGAACACAGTAATGAAGAAAGAGCTGGCCCTGACTCTTCTTTCTCTGTCTTCAGTACCGTGTATAATGCTCTCTCTAGTATGTGTCACCTTTTCCACGCTTCCCTTTGTTTTCACTCTCATAGGTTGGAAAGAAACGAAGCAAGGCGTGAGGAAGTTGCCAACTTTGAATACCTGAAGAATGTGGTCATCAAGGTATGGTCCTCAACTGCGCCATCCACATGTTCTTTTCTGTGGATTGTGTGGGATCTCCTTTTTGTGTATTTACTAAGAGCATAGTGAATGGAAAGAGAAAAAAAAACTGTGCTAAGTAAGTGTGGAAAAGAATCGAATGATAGATGCTATACGAAAGATACACAGGGAAATAACAAATCAATGATTGCACGTGAAGGTTTTACCAGTACAGTCGAACTGATACTTTGCAATGTAAATATGTAAAATTAATGACGCTTGAATTCGGTGAGGGAATCGAAAGTTGTGAATTGGGGAGGGAGACAGTTCCAAAGTGCACCAGTTTCCTTTAGGAATAGGGATGATCAAATGTGATTTTTTAAAGATGAGCTTTTTGGACCTACGGGCACTGCGTGAGATTGTAATTGCAAAGTAGGTGTAAAACGAGAAAGATACTCTGGGTGAAAATTGATGTACTTTATAAAAACAACCAGAGGAATAAAGATACGGCAAAATTGTAGGGATTTCCTCGCTCTAGGAATGGTTCCATCTCCGTTAGGAGACGAAGCCTATTAAAATCAGTTGTTCGGTGCAGTAGAGTCGTCCGCCGTGGTGTTGGTGCACGTGATGTAATGGGGGCTTCACACACACACGGGTAAAACTATGGTTGTGGGAAAGTTGTTATAGAAACCATGGTACTGGGGGAAAGGAAGAACCTCTCGGGGAAAAATTGGCAAAGCCGTGGCCGCGGGCCTCAGGGCGTCAAGGGAAAATCCCACGGCCTTCCGACTCACGTGCGTAGATCTCGTCTTTAACGAGAACTCTGAATCCCAGCTGTACGAGTGCATCGCAGCCTGCATTTTCAGAAAGTGCCCATGCGGACAATTGTGTGCGGCGAATGCAAAATATAGTACAGAATGTACGGATGTACTATAAAAATGCAGTACAGATAAAAAAAATTAATCCCCAGCCACAAATTCATATCCGAACATGCGGCCAAGGCCAAACTGACCACGGGTGTGAATGGCCGCACTCGGTTGTTCGACTGTCGGAACTGTTGCGTTGTCTTGTGACCTCAGGTTTTCCCGTGAGTGTGAATCCCCTATAAGAGAAACGATGATGAGGCAGTGGTCCGATGAGAGTAGGGGAGTGGTGGTAGGGGAGGTGGTTATCTGGAATATTGGTTACTACAATGTCAAGTAAAGCAGTACAACCACTTCGAATTTTTTTTGGGGGGGTGTACCATCATCATTGATAACAATGAATCCATACTGCACAAACTCCCATTGCAATGCTCTACCACTAGTACTGTCAGCAACGTCAGAGTCTTTCCATGCATTCCGTGCCGGTGGCAGGAAGCGCTCAGTGCCGGGGTTTCCAAGGCCGACACGCGGTCCGAACCTTGGCCAGGTCGGAACCCAACTCCTTCGCTGCTCCAGATACACTCTTGATGGACTCCAGGATGAGCCAGACATCACTGGCAGCATTGTTTGATGTGTTGCAATCCACATTGGGTTTGGAAGGAGTTGAAGCTTGATCACAAAGTGAGTAGTAGATTGGCGGTCTGCAGTAATCACAAGACACACCACGGCTAGCATAAAGAGGCCTATCAGGAAGCTTTACTTCAATCATTGGCATTTCACAGCTGTTGTTCCCAGGCTGTGCGAGAATACTGCAGTTGAACTGTTCCGCCTCCACCAAGTTGGGACCATGGCGGGGATGTGATGGCTCGGTCAAAACGATACAACCTGTAACCTGGCATAGCAATCGCCGCATCCGGTATACTGGGATTGAGCCATGTTTCCGTCAAGCAGACAATATCGACCGATTTTGACTGAACTAATTGTATTGTTTCAGCATGCTTACTTAGAATGCTGCAGGAGTTATTTGTGCTCGGGCATATTGCTCAACGTGCAGTTAATTTACATGGTGGTGTTCGTTGACGTCTAGGAGATCCCGTGGCTTCCTATGCAGAGTTATTTCACCTTAGCTTACGCTGAATATCCTCATCCGAGACTGGTTTCCGTCCATTAGAATTTCATCGAAAGGTAGAGTGCACCTAGCTAGCGCCTTTGGTGCGAAGCTGCTTGAATATAGGCAAGGTGTAACGACTAGTTTCCTGTTGCTGTTTGGTCAACGGCGAGATGCTGATGCATTGTGGTGTCATCTGCGTAGACAGCGAGGTCTGCTCCCTCTCGGAGAGTAGTGTCACAGTCGTTCACATACAATAGGACCAGGGTAGGCCCCGAGATACTTCCCTGACGGACACCGGCAGTAATGGAGAAAACAGTGGACTTGCGGCCAGATACGACTGCACGGAGATGCTACTCCTAGGCTGTTACATTGTACACTGACGATCTATTACAGGTTCTACTTACTTACCTCCAGTCCGACCTGATGCCGGCTGGGATGTCGAAAGAAGGAAAGGCTAGGAGCTCGAAAAACGCTTACCTGCCTGCAAACTCCAAACAAGAATAACGGCCGGCGCTCTTCCAAAACAATTTCCCGTACCGTGTTGACTACAGTTTTGGGTTTAGGAAATCCCGACACAACACACTTTCTTCAAACAGACAGTTCTATGTTATAAAATTCATTTTCATCTAACTAGTTTCTGCTCTTTAGTGCTTCATCAGATCAAGAACTGGCCTGTGTGACGTGTGCGAGCACGACCAGTTACCCGGGTCCCGGTAACTGGTCATGCTCACACACGTCACAAAGGTCAGTTCTTGATAGATACGATACATGTCATTACAAAGAATAATCATAATGGAACGAACACTGAAGATCGCAATGGAGTGGAGGAGGAAGGTTGTATTTACATTATAAAATTCAGTTCTTGTTGCCATATCGTGATTTCATCAAGCTGGTATCAGATGAGAGACTACAAAGTTTACTCTTCGAATACGTGTGAGGATGGATTAACCCATGACCTCTTTTGTGACACGCAGTACGAGGTGGAGTTGTCGGACGCTCTGATGTGCACTAATGGTTCCACCCAGGCAGCAATCAAACTGCTGGTTGACGACCTCCTTTGCACCTCCACCGTGTCAACAGTCGCACTGGACAGCGAGCGCAAGGAGACTTTCCGTCGGGCTCTGCGCCTTTGCTTTCCGACCATTCACTCTCTCCGCACTTGATGTGGGTAGTACATTATCAGCTCCACTACATACAGTACTGGTGCTAGACGTATCTGCTCCACAGCCCGCAAGGCTGGGGCTCTTTGCACCATGCAAAAATTGCTAACAGCCTCAACATTGTAAAAAAGCCTCTTTATGGATCACTAGTTCTCAAAGGACTAGGACCAGCCTGAGTTTAATGCTCTCCACACTGCAAAGCCATCTCAGTCTGCTCCAGTTGCCATGTTTGTTATGACCAGGTATTGAGCTGCATGGTTCTGGGTATGTGTGTGTGTGTGTGTGTGTGTGTGTGTGTGTGTGTGTGTGTGTGTGTGTGTGTGTGTGTGTGTGTGTGTGTGTGTGTGTGTGTGTGTGTGTGTGTGTGTGTGTGTGTGTGTGTTGCCGGTGCCAGCTAGTTCGGTTGGTGGGTACACTTATGCCAGACAGTGTTGGGCCTGTTGCCAACGGGCTCGGCTGCTTGAAGGTGTATTGTTGTATCTACCACCTTTGTTGGTTTCAGGGTTCATATACTTTCTATTTGAAGTATACATACCTGTTAACCATGGACTGCTTCTGGCTAGATTAACTCTTGTGTAATCAATGGTGCTAGTGAAGCTTATATCAGATCCACTCTGATTTAGCCACCCACACTAGTAGCAAGTATTACCTTCACTGGGGGCAGGGGTAACTGCAGTTGGATCCCGGGACGGATACCCTGATGCCGTCAATCCTTTTTCTGCACCTTGTCCTCACCCACTTACTGAGGTGTGGTGAGCCCATAAGTGGGATCATTTCAAGTCCACCCTAGTTTGGGGATTTCAGGGGGTGTCGGCCGCTGGGTGGTTCAATGGCCAATTGAGTCATCTTTCCAAGATTCCTTTTGAGTCTCTCTCCCCTCTCCCGGGGAGACCCACGTGACCAGTTTTGGCAGTGAGCAAGTACAAGTCCAAGTGTGTGTTGAAAAATGAAAAAATAGGGATTCGCTGGCCAGAAAAAGTCACTTCAAACAGCTGTGTGCATGTGGTGGATACCAGGCTAAAAATAGTGGCGGTCAATTCATCAGCCTTGCAAGCTGTTGAATGGTGTAATCCCAGCACAAGTTGCTATGTCTAACATAGCTGTTCGCTATCATCGCTTCCGCGATGGGCATGTCTGAGGTCTGAGGTGTGTGTTTGTGTGTGTGTGTGCTTGTGTGTGTGTGTGTGTGTGTGTGTGTGTGTGTGTGTGTGTGTGTGTGTGTCTGTGTGTCTGTGTCTGTGTGTGTGTGTCTGTGTGTCTGTGCGTGTCTGTGTATGTCTGTTTGCGTGTCTGGGCGTGTCTGTGCAGTTCTTGAGCTCGGATGGCAAGGGACAGAAGGACCTGATACCTGTGCTGGACACGCTGCTAAAGCTCAGTCCACAGGAGAAACTGTTCATTGAGAAGGCATCATCAGGTCAGTTCTCTAGCCTGGTTGTGTTTGTGTGCGGAAAAAGGGAGAGAGAGAGAGGGAGAGAGAGAGAAAGAGAGTGTGTGTGCGTGTGTGTGTGTGTGCGTTTGTGTATGCGTGCATGCGTGCGTGTGTGTGTGTGTGTGTGTGTGTGTGTGCGTGTGTGCGTGTGTGTGTGTGTGTGTGTGTGTGTGTGTGTGTGTGTGTGTGTGTGTGTCCCATATGGTGCAGTGGTACGTGCAGTCGATTTCCAATCGAGAGGTTGCGGGTTCAATTCCCGACGATTATGGTCTTTCCTCTCTTTCTCGGACTCTTCCTGACTTTTCTTTCATTCTCCTGGATGGTTACCAACAGCCAGTGTATGCCGGAGTATGTGGTGTGGTGTGTGTGTGTAGAAAAAAAGAAAAAAAAGAAAAAATGGAAAAATGAAAAATAGGGATTCACTGGCCAGAAAAAGTCACTTCAAACAGCTGTGTGGTGGATACCAGGCTAAAAATAGTGGCGGTCAATTCATCAGCCTTGCGAGCTGTTGAATGGTGTAATCCTAGCACAAGTTGCTATGTCTAACATAGCTGTTCGCCATCATCGCTTCCGCGATGGGCATGTCTGAGGTCTGAGGTGTGTGTGTGTGTGTGAGAGAAGAAAAATAATGACATGCGAAACAAAACAAGAACCTGTTCCAACCTAGCCCTAAGCCATTCTCAAAAGAATGAAATCCGGTTTTATACTAGTATAATAATATTATACCGTATTTCCTCGATTAATAGACCCGGTCTTTTGTTTTTTGAAGAGGGTTGGACCCCGGTCTCTTATTTGGGCATGGTCCATTATTTGAGCACGGTCCACTATATTTTCATCGGCACATCGCTGGAAATGGTGGATTTTTAACACGTCATAATATAGAAGTTCTATATTGTGACGTGTTAAAAATCCACCATTTCCAGCAATGTGCCGATGAAAATAATAGTGGACCGTGCTCAAATAATGAAAGAAAGCACTAGCCACTACAAAAATTGTAGTTTCGCAACCTAAAATCGCGTCCTTTTTGATCCACCACGTGCTTTCTTAGTGCGCATGCGCAGAGCGATTAATCAAATAAGAGACCGGGTCTCTTATTCGGGCATGGTCTACTATTTTTCCGTGAGGCCTCTAGGAGGGTCTACTATTTGAGCATGGTCTATTATTCGAGCATGGTCCATTGTTTAATCGAGGAAATACGGTAGCATGCATGGGTTGCAAACCTACCCGTCCGTGCTACTGTGTGCGTAGTTAGAAGCATACCGGTGTACATGTATTAGTATTGCCTTGCATGGGTTGGTGTATTGTAACTGTGATTGTGTGTGCATTTGTGTGTGTACGTGTGTGTGTGTCTGTGTGTGTGTGTTCGTGTGTGTGTGTGTTTGTGCATGTGTGTTCGTGTGTGTGTGTGTGTATTCGTGTGTGTGTGTGTGTGTGTTCGTGTGTGTGTGTGTGTTCGTGTGTGTGTGTGTTCGTGTGTGTGTGTGTGTTCGTGCTTGTGTGTGTGCGTACGTGCATGTGCACGTGTGTGTACATGTATATGTGTGTGTGTGTGTGTGTGCGTGTGTACGTTTGTGCATGCGTTTGCGTGCGATGTGTGTGTTCATAGGTCGTGCTGTTGCTCAGCCCAACCTCATCCCGGACACGGACGGAGCTCGCCGCGCCGCCAGTGCGGCATACTCTAATGTATCCAGCTACATGCGCAGCTGGACAGGGTACTAGCCGTGATCGGGTGATGTCCACACTGCAGTACGGCGTCATCTGGGTATACCTACTGCGTCACCATGGCATGGTTCTGATCTTTGGCAAGTCAGTGTGTGTGTGTGTGTGTGTGTGTGTGTGTGTGTGTGTGTGTGTGTGTGTGTGTGTGTGCGCGCGTGCGTGCATGCGTATGTGTATGTGTTTGTTCAGCCAAATTTTATTTTTTAATATTGCTGAGCTATGCTCCTCGAAGCAGCCCTTTATTGCATGCCAGTAAACATGCTATCTTGTTCAGTCCTTGCACTGTGTGCGCACCGTGTCTCAGACAGTGCCTGCGCGACTTTTAACTCTGCTAGCCTAAACCGATACCAAGCACACGGCTCACCTGACTGGGTTTGCTTCCATTGCCGCCATCCATCTGTTCTATTCAGACAACTCCCCAGACTTGATTCTGCCGCTACGAAGAATTTGCCTTGATGTTGTGCGGAAATTGCGCGTCTGGAAATCCGAAATCCCTGATTTGCTGTACATAAATTAAATGCACATATTTTTGCTTCGTCTATATTTCTGAAACTATCTCAACGCCTGCCTTTCTCCTAAAATGATTTTTTGGCCCTAAAACTGACCTGTACATACAAGTACATGTACGTAATCCCGGTGGGATGTTTTTAACTCAGATTTGCTGCTGTAATTGGCTTGCTATACGAAATTCTTCTCCCAAGTCCTGGTACAGAAAACGTAGAATTGCCTTCACTGTCACAGTGTGGTGATGCAGTCATGATGTACAATGATGTACATGTAAGGGGTGGGGGACATAGTACATTGCAGATCTACACGATAGTGTGAAGTATCTTCCTGGCAATACAGTATGCGATGTGGTATAACTTTCACTACAGTATCGTTTGTTGCTGGCAGAATGGTGGCTCATGAAAATATCGGTGCGATGCATTTTCCCGCCTTTTTAATTTGGTTTGATAGCTAGCAGTGGCGGTAGCGAAGCATGCATGCCTCTGTACTGTAGCCTACCCGTGCTGTACTACCGGTGCATACCAAGCATGCATGCTTTTCAAGCTTTTCATGTACATGTACATGTACTACCGGTATTCTACAACATGCTGTATGCAAGCCCAGAAGATTCAGCATGGATCAATGCTACCCAAGAGCACAGTATACAGTTTATTATAATAATTATGTACTTTTGGTATAGCACAGTGAAACCTGTGACTAACGACCACCCATTGGGGCCAGAGATGCGGTCTTTAGTGGCAGGTGGTCCTTAGTTAGAGGTTTGCACCGTACAATGAAAGACAGTGACTCGTCCATGCCTAGCGCCTGGCGAAGTGGTCCAGGCTGGTCGCTAGTCAACGGTGATCTGTACGTAGTGACAATTTTTTTTACTAGCAAACAGCCCTACTAATAATCAGGGGAAGAGGACAACTGAAATTACACTTGACAACAACAAAACGAAGGGGAGTAGGGGCGATGTGCCCATGTGGTTGGCGAGGTCTCGGAATCATCGCTTACGACCATGATTCCGAGACCTCCGGTCGGATGAGCCTCGCCAACCACATCGGCACATCGCCAGTACTAGACTCCCCTTTGTCTTGTTGTCCAGTGTCATTTCAGTCACAAAAATGACTCAACCTGGCAATGCTAACCTCTACCTGCTGCTCATATGGAAAGCCTACAACGTGTATTGTTTGTCAGTGTCACAAATCATAGTAGCGGTAGCACGAGAGCAAACAATTGAATGATGCTCAACCGTGTGGTAGCTAGATATGTTTTTGCTAATAAACCAGAAGCCCGGCCTTGAACAAATTAATGCCTTAGCATTATCCTTGACTCATAACCTGATAACCTTATGCCATAATTATAACTTCCCATTCATCTGGATTGTGTAAGTCATGTTGGGTCACAGTTAGACATTGTAGGGACAGTACTCTTCACTTCAGTTAGAGTAGATGGGCCATGATTTGAGAATGACAAAGAGGCGAGTGAGTACGGCAGTAGAGACTCAGTGCCCATTGATTCAATGCCGGAATTGCAAAATAAAAACTACCATGTCGCAATGTGCTGACGTCGACTTGAGCAACCTGCGCTGGCTTGTGCAGCGTGCCTAGTTCATGGACCTGTTTGCGTCAGTAGCACGTGGTTCCAAGCAGGGAGGCGTCAAACTGTTTGACGACTCCCTGGTTCCAAGTAGTTAAGTGTGGCTCGATGCCTGCCAATTACATCACTCCTCGGCCTCCTTCTTTCGGCATGAATGGTAGGAGTCTCACTCAGGGTTGCAACATACCGGTATCCTGGTATGGAGCAGGAACTGCTGCTTCTGCTATCTAACTACAATGACTATTGACTATTGTACGTGACTGATAGTATAACTAATAAGTGCCATACTGTACTGCACAGCACCGGCGTGCAGTGATCATGGTGATGTGTTTGCTGACAAGTGTTGTAGTGACAGAGTGACAGTCACAGGAGAGATTTACGGTACACCATGGTACACACTACACTACACTACTCACTAGTACATAGTGTCATGCAGTGACAAGTCAGTCTTTACATAATAATATTATAATAATTAATATAATATGTCTGTACCATACTGTGTGAGTGATGTACTAGTAAATGGGTACTCCTCTACACGTAACACGGCAGGCCGGCCGGGCCGGGCCAGGCCAGGGGTTCTTGACACGTTAGTTCACCGTCAAAGGCGTCAATGATCACGTAAGACGGAGGTTCAGTGACCCAATTTACATTGGTTTACATTGTAGTTATCTACTAGTAGCGCTAGAAAGTAGAAGCTAGCTTCGTGAAGACTTCAAAGTGTACTACATGTACGTCATTACCGTAATGTCGCGTGCATAAGCCGGATTTGTGCATAAGCCTGTCTCGTGTAGAAGCATGAAATCTGCAACAGCTTTTCGCGTACAAGCCTGTCGCATGCATAAGCCGGGCCAGTACACGAGACGCGCCACGTGTCGCGTGCGTAAGCCGGGCTACTACGCAAGACTGGTGAGCGCGCCTTTTACATGTTCATGTTTGCATGGTACCGTACACTTGCACACGCGGAAAACGTGGGAAGATGCGGAAATCAACACCAGCTGCGCTCGACGGCCATGCAGCACTCTTCAAGCTTCAAACTTACCTTTCCCATGGCATTTTCCGTCTTGTCCCTTGGCAAGTTGCTTGTTTGAAGTTGTTTCGGCGCTCCTCGAACTTTTCACTTGTGTTTGTTGCAGTCTACCCGTAGATAGAACTCATCTCAACCAAGTCTGCTTGTCGAAATGCCGAAAACAAAAGGACTTCGGAAAAAATACTCAGCGACATTCAAGCTGGCGGTAGTGAAAGCTGCAAAATCGACTTCTGTCACTGCTGCTTCTAGAAAGCACAGCATCGACGAGAGTATGGTGAGGCGATGGAAACGGCAAGAAAGCCTGGTCATTGAGTGGTGCTTGTCATATAAGCCTGTCTCGTGTATAAGCCTGTCTTGTGTACAAGCCTGACTCCATCACCGGCTTATAGGCATATAAGCCCCGGCTAATGCACGCGACATTACGGTATAACTACCGGTAACTAACATTACTTATACCGGTACATGTATGTATACGATGCAAGTCATGTGCATAATGATTGTATGCATTGTACAGGTACATGTACATACATGACTGAATTTTTTTCTTTTTTTTTTTCTTTTTTTACTAAGTACACAACCTACTCGTCAGAAGGGGAGAAGACAACAGAGTATACAATGACAAAACAGCAGGGAGAGTAGGGGCTGCAAAGCAAGCATAACTAAGTAAAGTTACTTTCTCTTGTGTAAATTGACTCTAATTTTGAAACCGTTGTTCAATCTGCGGACATGTCAACAGCATACATGTTTGATGCTTCGTCCTTTGTGGACTCAGAGTCAAATAATAGCCATTTTTACTGGCATTGACACTGCACTATTGGTGTCAACTGATGACGTGCAAGCCTTGCTCGATAGTGCTGAACACGGTACGGTTACACAGTGATTACATGTTTGAGGATAACAGCAGGGAGTCGGAGGACACACTGTGTGTTGAGAAAAGACTCTGTCAGTGTTGCTGACTGCAACCATAAACTGGTCGGAAACAAACAAGCTAGCCTAGTCTAGTCTGCTACTGTCTACTGTCTATGCTACTGTCGTACTGAGCTCCGCGCTGCTAGCATGCTGCGACAACAATATTCAATAACCAGTGACTGATGCAGTGATGGTCTGGACCATGAATTGAAGGTCCATAGCCAGCAAAGAAAGCCAAACCCGTACTAGTACTTAGTAGTAGCCGGTGTTGCTGTGTTGCATCATCATACTACAGTACAGTAGTTTCATTGTGCCATTTGTGGTTTCATTGTCTTTACTTCTTGAAACTTGAAGAACAAGAGGTCTACGCATAGATCTACGGGTGCACATGTACTTGTGCGTGTGCGTGTGCGATCGCTGCGTGACTGCGTAGATCTACATAATATGATACGTATAATAAAGAAGCCTTGCTTGGTAGTAATAGTATAGTTTACAGTACATGTTTTTCGATTTTGACAGGCGAGGACGTATAGTGTTCCTGACTACAGACTACAGACAGTACAGTACAAGTAGCTACAACCATAACCCGGTTGGCAGAGTCCCGGTCTTGCGACCATGTTGGGAAAACCCAGGTTCGGACCCTCGGATGATGGTACGTGCATGTACATAATGTGCATGCGGCGAGCCTGGCGATGTGTCACTGCATATCGCCCAATATGACTCTGGTGTTGCAACGACATCACGCTTGTGTGTGTGTGTATACATGACATGTAGTGCATGCAGACTTTTGTAGGCCAGGGCATCGATCTCGCTGTACTGGCATTCAAGAATGTTCTTGCACTTTCTCCCTCCAAACGAGGTCCACGTGCTTCCACCGCTGCTTCCTGTGCAAGCGCTCCGCTGCAAGCCTGCAGGATCTAGGCCGATCTAGCCTACTGCCTAGCCTTTCTAGGAGGTACTAGGTGTAGCGTTGCGCACGCTAGTTGCGTGATTTGGGAAAGTGGCTGTGAGCCTGCGGTGAGGAGTGACTGTGCGAGTTCTTGACCTGAGCTTACGTGGGCTTCGTTGATCAATTTTTTTCCTTTGTAATCATTCTTTGAACTCCGCAAACTGGTCATGGCTGGTACTAGTAAAGACAGTAGCTGGTTGCGCTTGGAAGTGTGTAGGCAGTTCAGTCGTGGAAGGTGCAGTCGCAGTGACTCTGAGTGTAAATTTGCTCATCCCCCAGCTTCTCTGGAGTCTTTTGGTGGAACTGTGACTGCTTGCTTTGATTTCTTGAAAGTAAGTACAGTGTTAACATCAGTTTCTTCTTCTCTCGTATACCTACTGTTGTTCTACCTGAATTTGTTCTCAATTGTATACCCTGAGCCTCTATTTTGTTACTTTGTCAATTTCTACGAATGGCCGGGTGTGCTTGCTTGCGCGCGCGTGTTTGTGTTCCTCAAATTAATTGCTGTTTTCTTCTTGTGGTCTGGACCTCCTTTCGTAAAACTTGTGACCGTTGTACTCAGTACTGGTACGGTCTGTTTGAACCTGGGAAATGTTGGGTGTAAATCAATGACAGTGGAGAGCAAAGAGGATTGTGTATCTCTGAGAACGCTTTGTCAAATAATTGAGAAACCAGCCTGCGATTTCCGACTTTTTGTGCAGTGCTTATTTTACTCACTTTTTTATTCGCATGGTACGTATACAATCCAACACCGTCCTTGCTTTGTGTACATGCGTTGTTTCCTGCAGAAGCGCTGCCGTCGTGAAAACTGTAGGTTTTATCATCCACCTGAGCACATTGTGACACAGCTTGTTACCACCGGTGGTAGCTTCTCGTCTGGTTCAGCATCGTCAGAGCTCTCTTTTGTGAGTCATAATTATGCCTGTTCTTTTTTTCCTCAGTCTGCTTGAAAGGTTGAAAGCTTGTTACGTAGTTGCTCAACTCCTGGCCTTTTCACAGGTGGCCAGTAAATTTAATGCAATGCTCTGAGTTAAGACTTTAATCTCTTTTTCTTCCCCCCCCCCCCCCTCCTGATATGTACTCCATTGGATACTACTTGTACAGCTAACTTCAGTGTAAAGTACCTGGGATATACCATACATGCAGTGTCTACTTCAGAGCCGGGTCAATGACCCAGTTGGGGGGGGGGGGGGGGGGGGGAGGTACTTGAACCTGTTTGGAAAAAGAACACCAGGTCACCTGTGACCAGTTGGAAATGCATTACTGTAAGACATGTTATTATAACGAGTCGCAAATTTAACGATTGTCCAAAATTCATAAGTTAACGAGAAGATATGTTAACGATCTTGCAGTATTCTGCCATATCCACACACAGCATATATGAAGCAGTACGGCCTCAACGGATCTTATTATAACGAAGAAATGTCATCCGTTAAAACGTTAGATTTGCTTCCTCGTTATATATACATGTCTTACAGTATACATCAGGGAGTCTTAAAATTTACGACTCCCTGATGTACATGTAGTAGCTGCACTTGAACGGACCTGGCCCTGACCTTGGCTCCGACCCTGGCTCCGACCCGGTTGCCCGATTGGTTTGAAATCCTAGAGCAGACACTGACATGCAGTTCTGTGTTTACCTCAGACATAGAGTACCGTTGTTGGGGACTGCGTGTTCAGGGCCGTATCCAGGATCTTTCCAGGGGTTCAGTAGTCTCCCATGCCCACCATCAATTTCGCTGAAAGCATCACTTCATTCTTGGAGAAGCACAGATGAACGTGAAACTCCCAAAACCAGTAGTCTGGATGCTGAATCGAATAGTCTTGGTCCAAGGAGGCTATGATACAGAAAGAAAATTACAGACAAAGCGTTCAGCCGTTATTCCCAATCGAACGTGGTCAAACACAGTCCCGCACGCGATCTTGTACCAGTCATCTGTGCCAGTGCAGTGCATGCAGTGCATACACATGGTGACTGGTGCATGGTGTAGACAGTCTGTTCACCAGCTACTGTGCTTTTGACTTTGTTTGCTGGGTTGTTGTTCGACGTTCTCAACCTTGTGCGAACTTTTACCATGACTCCTGTCCTACAGTGGGTGACAACGAGACCCCGGAGTGTTTGCCTAAAGAAGTCGTTCATTTGCTAGCGTACACCAGGAAACTGGAGTACTCGCCACCGGTGAGAAGCTCCAGGTTTTGCGGGACCGTGGCGGGGAGCATGCAGCAAATAACTATTGCGCTGCTGTATCTGCTGCAGGCGTCGAAGAAGCCTGGCCTCCTGAAACCAGAGTTGGCACCGTCTCCTGGTGCGAGTGTTCATGCTGCGTGGTGATGGAGCGCCGAGTAAATTGTATTTGCTGCAATATAGTCGGCCATGATACGGTTTTAACCAGGGAGTACTAAAAATGCTTTTTGATAGAGAAAAAAAAAACAGTTTTAGTGCAGTGTACGTCCTGGTTTGAATTTCTCTGACACGGAGCAGTGCTTGTCTGAGATGGGGTAATTCAAGATATATATGTCCTATGCCTCACCAAAGATATGTGTTGACCATCACCTTGCACGGTAGACCATGTGTATAACAAACAAATATCGCAGGGTGCTGACCTGGAAGCCAAAGGACTTCGCAGTTGGACTCAAAGACAAGTGCACCCTGTTACCCTGTAGCCTTGGCTGGTTGAACAGTGGTCACACACCCTTTGCCATGGGCCTGCACTGTACTAACACACCTTTTGCCATGGGCCTGCACTGCACTGTACTAGGGATGCTGCGCTCATTGTGCGCATCGGTACGGGATGCGTACGGAACCGTGTTCGACCGCGTTCAATAAGGAACATGGGCATCCATCAATGTAGGGAAGGAATCGTGCACGTCTTGATAAACTTTTAGAACAGCAACATATCACTTTCTTTCCTCAGCTGGAAAGCCACGGATCTCGCAAACACGATGTGCAGTCGAAAAGCATGTACAGATAATCGGATATCCGTGCTAATTTGGGTGAGCGGGAGGATAAGGACTAAATCGGTGGGGAAGAATGTCTACAACTCGAGTGCTGTGTTTTATTTCTTGGGTGTGTAACTTCAACTTGTTCCTCTCTGCACGGCTGACTCACTTCTTTTCTGTTGCATTGTGTTGCTTGGATTCTTGGATTCTCTAGGAAGCAGCACAACTCATGGGTCGCCAGGATAAATCTGACCGGCTGGAGGTAAGCATGCATATTGCACTCAATGCTCATCGTACTTCGAGTGTGCACTACAGAAGAGTGTGACAGTCATTCACCGACTACTGTTTCCACCATTGTTTGTTGTTTGCGTTGTTGTCATCGTGCCCTGTCATGGCCCATGTTTGCCACATTCTGGAGGTGCATGCTGCCACTGTCAATGCCCTGCCTTTGCTGGTGCGTACGAGTAGTCTGGCTAAACTGAGCATGCGCGTCGCTAATCATTTGCTCTGCTAATCTGCCTACGTGCACTTAACCAGTCTGCACTCATCCATAAGGCTGCATCGTGTCAAGCTTGATGGACTAATGTTTTCATCTCACCTCTGTGCTATCCTCTCATCTCACCAGGTATGTCGGGAATACATCAGGAAGTCGTGCCAGCGGACAGACGATCAGTGTCGGTATGCTCATCCTCCGGAGCACATCCAGATGGACTCGCGTGACTACACCGTCACAGTATGCATGGACTTCATGAAGGGCCGGTGCTCTCGCGAGAAGTGCCGCTATTTCCACCCACTGCCGCATCTCCAGCACCGCGTCAAGCAGCAGCAAGCTCCAGGCTCAGCAGCCGGCTCATCCGCCATGGTATGTACTTGTATGTTGCGTGATGTGTGTGTGTGCTGCTTGTCATCACCGTAGGTTGACTGGCTTTGTGAACGGTTGTAACATTTACAGTCGACTCATTGTAAGCCCGTTAGAACATTATTTAGCTGGTTCAAAACAACAAAGTCCAAGTCTGAATTCTCATGCCAAGGTTTCGCACGCATAAGGGGCAGCAGTCAAAATGCTGTGATCCTGTAAGAAATTTGGAGCATCCTGGCGTTGAAACCATACGTGTACTAGTTCAACTCGAAATTGACCTTAGCTTCACTTAACTTGCTGCCTCGGAATTCCTGGTATACCGATTCTCAAAGCTGATGAAGAACCCTGTGTTGTGTTGCTCTATGTAGAACTAGCGTGTAGCTGCTGTGAGCCTTGCTAGCATGCGTTTTGGTTTTATTTTCTGCTGGACTGGTCGTTCTGCTTCTGGACCTGCATTCCGCTGGGCCTTCATGCATCCCCGTTTGTCTCTGGAGACGTGCTCTTGCATGTCCTCTTCTCCTCGTTCTGCCAACTTCCGGCATGTGCTGTCAGTAGCTTGCGTTGTTAGCCGTTGTGTAGTTGCTGTCATTATACTGCGTGTGTGGCGTGGTAGTTTGTGTGCGCATGTGTGTGTGTGTGTGTGCGTGTGCGCGCATGCTGTATCATTTTCCGCTTCTCCTGCACATGCTGTAAGCTCTGCCGGTTGTGTGGGTGGGTGTGTATTTAAGAATACCGGTATGTGTGGAATGATCATGCGACGGCGGCCGGCCGCACAAAGTGAGGCCACGCAGAGTGAGGCCGTTATGAATCTAGTTGGTGTCGCTGTGCTCTTGCCTTCTGCTTGGTTTGTGTAGCTCATGGAACAAATACTCCTCAACGCGCGCAAACGGCCTAGCTCTACCCCCGCTGATGTGGTACTTGTTGTTAAGACTTGTTTTAGTATGGCTGAGCAGCTCCTGCTATTGCTGCCAGTATTGCAGCTGGCCATGCTGCCACACTGTCTTGGGCTTTGCCGGTGATCGTTTGGCTTTTCTTTGTGCTTTGTGTGTGTGTGTTTCTCTCTGACCTCTTATCTTTTGTTTTGATGCAGCTATCGAATGACTATCGCAGGCCTACGATGCCATACACTCATCCGGCTGCTTCCGCCGCTGCCGCTGCTGCTGCCGCAGTTGGCCAAACACAGTTCGCATCAATACCACAGGCGCAATATGACCCAGCAGCATATGCGGCGTATGCAGCAGCAGCGGCGGCAGCTGGTGGTCAGCAACAGCAGCAACAGCAGCAGCAACAACAACAACAAATGATGAGTGAGTTACATTGTGATCAGCCAATGTTTTATCAAGGGGCCCCAATGTTGCACCACACTTTTCCACCTGGTCCAATGCCTGGACCATATGTTGGTGTTGCTCCAGTACCTCCACCGTTCATTCCAGCGCACCTTCCCACGGCTCCAACCCCTGTCGTGTTTCAGAATACATCTGTCAACACAGATGCACTGAATGCAGAAGTGCGAAGCGACGGTGCGCACCTTCCCACGGCTTTAACCCCTGGCATGTTTCAGAATTCATCTGTCAACACAGATGCACTGAATGCAGAAGTGCGAAGCGACGGTAAGGATGAGTCTGCATCTCAGGAGACAGAGTGCCCAGAGGCCCGGCTCCAAAATGTAACACCTGCTGACTCGACTACTGAAGCTGATGAATCTAGTGATGATAGCACATCAAGCTCAACAAAACCGAATACTGCGGAAAGCTGTGGAGATGGCGTCTCTATACCTTCCGAAACTGGTAAAACTGAAAACGTCAGCTACTTGTCTGCATCAAACGTTAACCCATCACACAGCGTCTCTGGACCTTCCGCATCAAGTGCTAACCCGCTTATGCCACTGCCAAAAACAGTTCAAGTTGGAAACATGTGTACCACTCAGCCGCCGTACGCGCCTGCTCATCAGCTCCGCTATCAATACATGCCATCTCCAACGTATGGAGGTTCAGCACCACCATATGTACAACCATACGGGTCTAATATGGTGAGGTACCCGTTTCCATTTCCTGCGCAAATGCCGCCTCCAGTCCCTGTGAATCCGTACGCACAGTATAACGGCCCAGTTCACGAATTCCAGCAAGTCACTGCGCAGATGGGGAAAATGAATGTATACTAGAAGTACACCTGATGATTTTTGTTCATCCTGCATTGGACAGGGCCCACGTGATACCCTGAAGATGAATTCACGTCATATTACATCAAAGCACACGACCCATGTAAATAGATTTTTGCTTGCATCCTCAATTTTGTTCCAATCAGTTATCAACTATAAAACCCAAGGACCTCGACTGTACATGGATGCATGATCATGAGGAGTGTCACATTCACGCACAACACACCCAACAGGTTGTCCCAATGACATAGTTATGAAGGGTTCATTTTCCAATCACCATTACCTTCCATCATACTGGATGGTGCCTAGTCTACTGATTTTTAGGTGCAGTGCAGCACCGTGTTTGTTGTCATGGTAAAGCAACATTGTGGAGTTACCTGATGTGCTTTCTTTCAACCTCTGTTATTTTCGTATCTGTCTTATTCGAGTTAGTATGTGTTTCATACCTTTTCTTCTTTTTTCTTTTTTTTAAGGAAATTCGTTTTCTGGGTACCGTATCCCTACCCGTTCCTCTAGCCTAGATACTGTGCTATAGCACTTTGCTAGCTAACTTAGCTGTGGTAGAGTAATGATCTTGTCCTAAACTTGATGCATCATGCACAGTGATGCCGCTAGATTCTACATCTACTTTATATCCCTTTAGCAAATTATTAAAGAAATCCCGGCAGGTGTGTGGGGGTTTTTCAGCCCCTCTGTTTACCTTTCGTCCCTCCCTGTCATGTTTATCCTAGTCTACGTTGTACCTTTCATTCCCATTTCACCACCTTCAATAAAGTAATTCCACCTCCACCTACCGCGCTCTCTGGCCGACCTCACACACCAGCAACATAATACTGACAACTAGTTTTTTTCCTCCATGCAGCGCTGTTTCGACCACTATAGGTCTCATCAGTGAAGGCTGAGAATAATGAATGGCTAGAATTAATTTGAAAGCACGGTTTTATACATAGAATGAAATGAAGAAGCGCGATCCCGCGCTTACAGTCCATTCATTGGAAACTGGCACCCTAACTTTTTGGTGTCTCCCGCACATCGTTGTAGGTATCGTGAAAACAACAGTACATCCTGCATTGTGTGACCCGTGCAATTACTCCTAGCCGCATTTGAGGCCAGAAAAGTCCAAGAACAGGGAAATAGAAATTCAGCCAGGTTTTACAAAATTGGGACAGGTATGCCATGGCAAAATGTAAGGAGAAGCAGATCCAAAACCCAGATTTTTGAGATTTAAAGTGGGTTTTTGATCCTCAATTCGGCCCAAAAGCCAGCGGGACAGTTTCCGATGAGGACATCATTGATACTTGCGCAACAGATTCTAGCACTCTGAAATACAATCGTGTAGTATACATGTACTGAAAATCAGGGTGACAGTTCCGACATAGCGCTCCAACACGGTACTGTAAGTAGCGCTGCTGCATGGAGAAAAAAACTTTTTGTCAGTATCTACAACTTGGAGTCATGTTGCCGGTGTGTGAGGTCGGCCAGAGAGCTCGTTTGGTGGTGGTGGAATTACTTTAATGATCAACAGGCCGAAGGCTGCTACTTACCCTTTGAGAACAAGTTGGTCACCACCTTGACGTTATTATTATGAATGCATGTTTTTTTTTAAACACCGAACGGTTCAAGCCGATTTCTTCCAGCCGGGGAGCATCGCACACAGTTTAGTTTTGTGTCCCAGCAAGTTTTCTACTTAGACAGCAGCACTACCTCGTGCCTCTTGTGATTGTCCTACGCTGTTATTTTTGGTGCCGATGGCCCTCTGCTCGATTTTTTTAAGCACTCCGCCTGCCTTCTGTTTTACCCTCTGGTAGGTAGGCTCGCTTCGCTCGACGTTTTTTTTGTCTACGCCACTCATTGACCGTATACGCACTTTGGCTGTACTGTTTGAGGGTGAGCAACGTACTGAGTGCACAACTGATGGTAGTGGCCGAATCCCAATCTAACGACAGCTGTTGGCCAAGTCTTGCCATCTTTCATCGCCGTCGCCCGGAAGTGAAAGACAGGCGAACTGCATTGTAGGTGTGCGCCAAGATCAGGGTGAGGACCCGCATGAGAGATAACAGCCTTGGTAGCAGTTACGTGCACAACTGATGGTAGTGGCCGAATCCCAATCTAACGACAGCTGTTAACCAAGTCTTGCCATCTTTCATCGCCGTCGCCCGGAAGTGAAAGACAGGCGAACTGCATTGTAGGTGTGTGCCCAGATCAGGGTGAGGACCCGCATGAGAGATAACAGCCTTGGTAGCAGTTACTTTGGAATTCCCCTGACCTGTTTTGAACACAGTGGTCTGCTGTTGCCTGATGAATAGGGGTTCATGTTCAGCTCCACGCTAGGCACTTTGTTGCCGGTTTTCTACCTCTGGCTGCCTAGTCCTCCTTAGTCGTGTTTGGAATGGCGTCCGCACTGGACCGTTCACACCGGATACAATGTGCCGCCGTGACGCTATCAGGAATGTCGCTCCTGGCAGATCAGGAAATGCGCCTGTAGTACTTCACTTTTTCTACGACCCTTGACGATTTTTATTGCTGGTTGCGAGAAAGCCATTTTGGCCGTAGAATTCCTGAGCATTCATTGCGGGGAAAAGCTATTTTCAGATCTCACATACCTATGTTTGTAGGTCCCTCTCCGTTTCTGTCTGTGTGTGTGTGTCTCTCTCGCTCTCTCTCTCTCTCTCTCTCTCTCTCTCTCTCTCTCTCTCTCTCTCTCTCTCTCTCTCTCTCTCTCTCTCTCTCTCTCTCTCTCTCTCTCCGCTTCTCTCTCTATCTGTCTTCTTTCCCTTCTTCCTCTCTTTCACTGGCTTTCTCAGCTAATTATCATTTTGGTTGACCCCAAATTGAAAATTTAGTATGGTTTTTCGGCGCTTGAAATCTCGTCTCTTGCAAAGCTCGTGTAAAAATGGGCCATATGTGCTCGATTACTAACCCTAGGTGCGCGTTAAAGGGGAAGTGCATCGATTTTTCGAGTATGGTCCAGAAGAAAGACATTTGATATCGGTTCGAATGGCATATCTCTCGCTTCCATACGATAAGCCAAACTTGCCAAATCGCCAATTGTATACTCACGTTGCCATAGCGACCAGCGCAGTGATGACGTACGAAAGGCTTAGCTCCACCACAGAGAAGGTCGATCACTGCAGAATTTGGTCATTTTCAATTGGTTTATTGTATTCACGAAGTGAAAGAAGGGCTGTGTTCGATGCTGTAAGTGCAGTGAACTGTTTGTTAGTAGTCCTCTCGGTTGTGTACTGGGACGTGACACCGACAGGAGAAAGCTGGAGCGCGGAGACACCAGCAGACAAGCGAAAATAGTGACGAACAAAATGCTGAAATCTTGGTTGGGACAAATCAGACGTTCAGCATTTCCCCCAACCAAGGACCATGCCGTTTGCTCTTTCCACTTCCTGAAGATGAATGTGATGCTTCCTGGCGACTTTCCTATCTCTCGTAACATCTTCTGAAGCCAGGTGAGACGACGGGTGCCGGGTGGTGGAGATTGACGAATGAAATACTGATGTCGTAGGTTTGAAAGTTTGCTGAAAATGTCTCAGGAGACACGGCGAATTCCAAGCATCTTGTCCTGGAGGAAACCATTTCCTAGGCACAGTCAGCCTAGGGAAATGCATGAGAAGGGCGACAAATAGTTCACGGCACTAACAGCATTGAACACAGCACTTCTTTCACATCGTGAATACAATAAGACAATTGAAAATGACCAATTTCTGCAGTGATCGACCTTCTCTGTGGAGGAGCTAAGCCTTTCGTACGTCATCACTCCGCTGGTCGCTATGGCAACGTGAGCATACAATTGGCGATTTGGCAAGTTTGGCTTATCGTATGAAAGCGAGAGATATGCCATTCGAACCGATATCAAATTGTCTTTCTTCTGGACCCTACTCGAAAAATCGATGCACTTCCCCTATAACTTCCATTGCAATCATATAACGTGGGAAATTGGTCTCAATCTCTGAAATGTAAGCATTTCTTGTTGCAAACATTGCCTGCTTTAATAATGCCCGCTCTTTGCTTCAAACAAGTGATTTCTGGTGGTAGTCAATACTAATCATTGATGGGAATGGCTGACCAAACTCTGCATTTTGGTGATTGTAGTCTTTTGAAACTTGGGTGTATGTAGGGGGGGGGCTGTTCACAACTTTTTAATTCGATGCATTCGGCACTCTGCTTTATCTCTTCTGGCATCTTGCTCGGCTGTGCTGCCTGCGTTAGCTCCGTGCTTGCGGCACTCGACTACGTAGGTGCTGCTCTTTCGCATCAGCCGGGTTGTTCACGAAGTTGCTCTGGCTTGCGTAACTTGTTCCTACTGACTAGGTAGTGTGCGGTGGATTATTTCTTCGGCACTATTGGCGGCGCACAGCGTCACTGTAACCTTTGCATTGCTATGCACCCCCCGGAGTGTGTGTCGCTGACTTTGTGCAAGGTGTGGTGCTGGTCTTTATGCAGTGTTGTGCCTGTTTTCAATCTCTAGTGGCAGCCGTCCTGCAAGGCTTAGCTGGCGGACAGACTGATGTATATTCGCAATATGCCACCGCCGCTGCCGCAGCTGCAGCCGCTTCTGCCGCGCTGGCCAGCAACCCGATTGGCTGGTTACCGGGAACTGCCGGCGCCCCTGCTTCCGCTGCGTTTGTACCTGAGGTATACACATATCCAGCTTGCCTGCACGTCTGTCTGTCTATACATGTCTGCTGTCGGATTTACTCTCTATTCCGGTCCATGCTGCTAAATTAGATTGTAATTGGGAATACCCATGGGTGTTATGTCGCTTCTGCCCTCCCATGCTTGCTTTGTAGAGTTAACCCTGCTGCCATTTGTTGTATATGGGTGGGGAGGGGGAATTGTTAAAGCTGTGCTTGCTTTCACTAATTTGCAAAGCATAGAAAAAATACCTAGTACGAAGAAGAGGTTGTAACGACTTCGGCGATAATCGAGGCGTTGTGTGTTGCTCCCTACGTGGGAGCTCGCGCTTTTCCTGCCGACTTGAATTGACACTTGACTGACTCACAACTGCCATTCTGAGCACATGGGAAGTCCATTGAGCTTTCCACTTGTCAAACTTGCAAAAAGCACCACTCCCTGCTCAGTACACAGCTTTTCGGGGAATTCACGCCTCGTCAGTTGAGCTTGAGGAAGCTAATGAAGCCTGTGCTCCGAGAGCACAGCATTGTGCAGTGCTCCCCGAGGAAAAACATCTTTAGGGATACCAGCTTACAGTGGCGCTCCGTTTCCAGCGAACTCAAGACCGTACCGTTAGTCAGTGGCGCCCATGAAGGTGCAGAACAAGCACTGAGGGCTGTTGGCCATTCACAACGTTGTTATCTCCAAACGCTTCTGTCGCACGCTCGTTCTGCACCTCCACGAGCGACACTGACTCGCGCTGTTGTCCGGTGTTTGCGAGGTACTTGTTACACTGGGTACAGATTGCTGCTGTAAGTTGGTATCCCTAGTGATGTTTTGGCTCGAAGAGCACTACTTGATACAGTGCTATTAGCACGGGAGCACAAATTGTGTATCCTATCCAAGCTCATCTGATGAGGGGCAACTTCCTCGAAACACTGTGTATTGAGCAGGGAGTGGTGCTGTCTGGCGGGTCAAACAAGTGGAAGGGTCAATGGACTTCTGTGTGCTCTGGATGCAATTCAAGTCGGCAGGAAAGCGCGAGCTCCCATGTAAGGAGCAACATGCAATAGAAGAGATAGGTTTTGTGTTTGTGACAATTAGTATGTTGTGTCTGTGTAGCCCAAAGTGTGCGCCGGAGGTGTTCTGGTCTATGTTCAATG